TTGGCAGATGGTCCAGAAGTGGTTTGCCATTGCCTTCTTCTGTGTGTGAATGGAGTAATTGTTGGGATGCCACGGAGAATCCGGGGAAGTCCCCGGAGGAAAACTCCGTGTTGCCTAGACCACGGCCTTGCCCAACACAAGTTATAAATTCGGGCACCGCCGGGAATCGAACCCGAGACCCCAGGATTACAAGGCCAGCGTTCTAACCGCTAAACCACCGTGGCTACAAAATACTGATTATTCCTAATTATTGTTACAGCTGAGGTGTTGTGGCAAACACAGAGAGGATGAATGGTTCGACACATTGGCCTACATTCCGGTGTCATGCTGTCCGTCGAGACCCCCAACCGACACACAAGACTTCTGTTCCTTGCTGCCACCAGACATCAGCTTCATAATCCACAACACAGGCTGCCTGAAACGACTTCAAGAGATGCCGCTCACAGGAATCAAAATAATAACGTCAATACTAATCGGCGTTTGTGCAGTCGAGGTAATGGCATCAGCTTCCGCAGTCTATAGTCCGACATTTTTATCATGGCTGCTAGGTCACGACTGCGCTCCTTGCTAGGCCTGACAGTTAGTCGAAATATTATGAAAGTAACCCTCCGTCCGTCTGTTGTCCGGCCTGTTTTACTGATTTGTGTTATCTGACGACGCTATCAGTAGCTCACAATATATAGAGTTGAATGACAGGGTGACTAATGAACAATAAATTGAAAAAGATAAATGAAGCAACAACTTCCGAATTTAGGGAGCTACCCAAGCATTTATCTGGAAGGACTGAGAAATTCCACATAAAACACCAGTCTTGATAGCCGGTATCCAACCCGAGAGTGAACCCCGGATCTACCGAATGCAAAGCAAGGAGTCGGCCACGACTTTCACTTTGCAGCCTGCAGTTGTTCACTGTGAGGCAGGTGACTCAGTCATCTCGTCCACTTCGGGAATATATTTAAAAATCTGCACAACATATATTTCTGCATTCCAATAACCTTCATTTCGAAATATGTTAACTGCAAAGTACAACGCACTGTTTGTAGGTCTCCCCAGCGGTCTCCTCCTCTCAGGTTTCCTCCTGCCTGAGATTATCCTCCCATCTACGTCTAGGTCTCCCCAGCGGTCTCCTCCTCTCAGGTTTCCTCCTGCCTGAGATTATCCTCCCATCTACGTCTAGGTCTCCCCAGAGGCCTCTTCCTCTCAGGCTTCCCAACCAATACCCGGTGCACACCTCTTGTCCCATCCATGCGCGCTACATGCTCAGCCCCTCTCATTCTTCTCGACTTAATCACCCTGACAATACTGGGGGAGGAGTATAGATTTCTAAGCTCATTATTATGCAGTTTCCTCCACGCCCCATCGTCTTCTCTCCTAGGCCCAAATATCCTCCTCAAACACCTGCAATCTGTGTTCCTCCCTCTGAGTGAGAGACCATGTTTCGCACCCATACAAAACAATAGGCAAGATTATTGTTTTGTATACTTTAATTTTCAGGTTCTTAGAAATCAGGCGGGAAGACAAAATATTTTGGACTGAGAAGTAGCGAGCATTTCCAGAATTTAATCTCCTCCTAACTTCCTCATGAGTATCATTTTGATTTGTTATTGTTGTTTCCCGATATTTTTGTGGTTTATTAATCGTGCTACATATCCCACCAATCCCTTTCAGTATTCTAATCGTCTGTATATATTTCAGGTGCTAAGTTTCTGTGCGTCGACCTACGCAATACGAGAAATAGGGACGGTTGTATCAACCAAGAATGTGAACATCACAAGGGAATACGAACTAACAAAGAAATCAGAGAAAAATATAAACATCTATAACGAAAAGCAGAACAATACAAGAAAAGCAGAAGTTTTGTTTCAATGCAATGCGAGGAAAGGCGTTCATTACGTGCACAAAAATGTGAATCAACTGACAGACTCTGGTCCTAATGTGAAACATACAAAATGAGTAAATTTGATCTTGAAGCTTGTGAATTGATAGTCCTTCAGCTGATCAAGAAGTACCCCGCTGTTATAAAATATGAAGACACATTACCATGTTCACAAGAACACCTCCTAAAAAATGTATATGAAGATTTAATTAATGAAAGAGACATTTTAATAAACTAAATAATTTGTAGTGTTCATAATGACGAACACAACTGACTACGGTGGGCAACTGACTGGCAAGAAAGACATACCAGAATAAATATATTTATTGTTATGACGTTATTTTTCCAATTGTTCTTGCAGCAAAGAAAACAATGAAAGAATTTAACAATAAATAAACGGGAAAAAAAAGATGTTGGTGTGATTTCTATTGGTCGGGTCCGCCCATGTCGACTGCGAGCGCAATGCTGAAGAAGCACGTTCAACATAGAACGCAGTGCGGACGCACATTCAACGTAGGACACAGTGCGCATCAAGTCCCGCCTCAAACCATCCTCAACACCTAGCCTCCAAGTAACTGGATTAAAGGAGTACGCCACCACTCCCGGCGTAAAACAGCTCTTCGGAACTTGATGTTATTGTAAGTGCGATGTTTGCGACGGTGTCTAAGAGATGGCACTAGTTGCTGCTTCCCGCTATTATCGATTCGGTACGCCTGAACGTACTGCAGAAGTGATTTGACGACGTTGCTGTGGCCTGTTATAATTATCTTCATATTCATGGAATGAATTCCTCATTCGGCAAATTTCATTTCCTGAATTTACAGTCCTTCAATATTCTTGGCTTCCTCACTTTCTGCACTCATCATTACGTTCATGACGCAGATAGCAAGCACATCTGAAACGTCTGTAGACTTCTACCAGACGGCACAACCCATAAGGCAACTATCTTTCCGTTTTATCAGGTATAAAGCTCATAATGGAAACCATAATCATAGTACGAGACCTTAAATTGCCAAATGAGGCGACCTTCCTTTTACATTAATGAAAGAAGAGAACGTCTTAATTTAGTCATTTAAGAATATAATATTTTGTAATAAATTAATTATGTTCTGTTTCATTCGCAGTTGAGATTATTTTGTGCATAATGTCCTGATATCTATTTTCGAAATGTTTTCAATTTCGCATAAAGTGATTCTGCAGTGACACTATTAAGGTTATATGTTTGTCTCAGAGATGGCGCATGCAATTTATTCCAACAGTACGCATTACCAACCATAAATATTTTTATATTTTTTTCCGACGATGCAATACAGAAACCTTAACAAACTAATTTCATGCGTTGAAACATTTGTAATTATAGAAACAGAAGCTTTTGGGATGTATCCAAATCAAAATTCTCGTTCAAGCACTCAGAATATAAGTCTTTAAGATTGTCATGCTATTATCGTTCTGATCAAAGATGGCATGACTTCACGGCTTAAAAAGTGTGTCACTGGTTCGTGAAGAATTAGAGACTCGACGTGAAACAAGAGTTCTGCTTGATGATTATCCATCGCGTCCCATGAACTGCAATCGATTTTGCTGGCGCCGTATCGCATCTAGGATTTCAGGATACCATCACCGACAATCAAAGCAATGTCTCCCTTAGACCGATTCATATTTTTGGACTATGCTTAATACGTCCACTGCGTTTCGGGGATTTAGATTCCGTCGTTCCAGTGGATTCAATTGATTAGGTTGCTCACCTGATGACGGAAGAACAGTTAGTTTCCGAAATGTCGTGGGGTTTTTAAACATGGACGCATAAAAACGTCCAAAAATATGCACCAGTTTCATAACGCACCTTCGTAAAAAAAATCTTATATTCTTGACTCCCTTGGTTGCATTTTCCATAGTTACTCCCTTTATGAAAATATGTTCAATTCTCTATTAATAAAAATTATATCCCTTAAACTCTTAAGAAAAGCATTTATTCTCTCACTTATCAGTCGTTCCAATAGGGCAGATGTCGCCACGTAATAGATTCGCCGATGTTGTCTGAGGGCGGCTTCTTAGAACGATATACGTACACAGCACGCCGAAGACGGTTTTCAAGCGAAACATGAAGCCCTGAAAGAAACCGCTTGGAAATTTTAAAAGTATCGACAAAGAAAATAGAAGATTGGGGACTATGATACGTTAGTCACGGGCAGGATTTAGATCAGGAACCAAAAATGGGTGTGTACTATCGCAAAATACTTACTCAGAAAACAATTAGTTTACACCGAAAATCTGAAATCAACTTATTACATTTATTTACATATATTTTAAGCTTCTTTAACTTTAAATATACAGAATATATTACACTTGCTTAGATTCATGTAAGGTCTTACATCAGAGAATACATTTTATTTAAAGGCAGTATTATAATAAATAGCGTATATGTTGTTCGTAATTGCACATTATATTGTAAGGTTCTCATGACAACATTAATTCGACAAGAAGCATGTTTTTATTATAAGAGATTGAACAATTCGACCTCATTAAATAGTTGTTTACTTAACCAATTGTTCAAAAAAATGTAAGGAACCAAGTACTGGGAGCTGCTTCAGAAGCAACTGTCCAAAATAAGCATCATTACTCTGTAACTAAGCAACAGCGTAACCGAGTTATAAGCTGTATGCAAATAACAATCTGATATGCCCTTCAATAGTAAATTGTTCTTTTTATCTTCAACTATTCGCATTAGCACTAGATTTTGACACAGATCAATAATTGGGACCGAGTAGACACAATTCCTGCTTCTATTTCCGGAAACCCGATTTTAAATCTCGGTCCTGAAACCGACTATCCGGGCTACCGTTTTTCGTAGTTCGTGGTTTCAAAAATAATACTGTGACAAATTAGATTGCTATTGAAAGCAAGAATACTTTGCATAAAAACAGATGTCGGCTAATAAATTGAAAGTTAAGACGGCGTTTTGGACAAACGAAGTCATCATAAGTAGGATTTGAGGTTCTCATGGCGACGAGTAAGAGGATGGCTGTCTTCTGGGTTGTAGCGCCGTGTGGTCTGGCAGAAATTTACCAACGCTTCAGAGGTCCTTGCTGCCTCCATCATCAGAGTGATACCAGACTACAAGACGCTACAAACCAGAAGACAGCCATCATGAAAAGAAGTCATGTGTATTACAAAATTAACTTCTTACTTTTCTATGGATAAGAAAGAGGCCTATTTGCAGGCCTGTATCGGGGCCCACTGTGGTTTAAGACACGCTACTAAATTTAGTATTAATTTTGCACAAACCACAGATACTTTTATTGTAAAATTAATTAACTGCTGTGAACTTTAATGAGAAATAAAATGACCGAAAGTCGCGAATGAGCGGTTAGAATTGCTGCATATTCGCCAAGTTCAAGGTTCTAATCTCTACCAGATGATTGGTTATTCCTGAAAATTCAACCTCGGTGTCTTACATCAACCCACAATCGCTATTTTACAAATTTCTTTTAGTATCCTTCTTAATGATTATGACTTTCAAAGAAGGAAATGGAAGCAAAACGGACAAACAAACAGAACACGTTCGTCAATTAAACTGTTTTCATTCCCTGATTAAAAGTATTTCATGAGGCTCTTCTACCCTGCTTAAGAGGTCTAGTTGATTATGAAACAGGCTGCACACATCATGGGCATTCAAATACTTCATAGTTTAGATGCGTCATGTTTGTGTTTACAATTCATATGTATATTTATTCTTCAAATCTATACACATGTGGGTGTTTTCATATAAATAATATTAATAATGTTAATTATTTTGTTGATAATTTCACAGAATAATGAACAAATAACATAATACGCCACATAATATGCAAAAGAATCAGAAGATCAAAGGAACACCCACAACAATAACCTACAATCTACAATTAGTGAAAAGCGTGCATTAAAAAATATAGAATAGTTTTAAAAATAAAAATAAAACCTGAAGATGATGCTGAGACATCGAAACATGTTGTAATATATAGCGCAAAATTGTAACATCGAGGAAACGATGAATAGCGCAGAATGTTTATATCAATTTTAATTTTTAACATCAATATTTAAAATGGTTTGTGTATAGACTTGAAGAATAAATATATATAAAATGAATTGTAAACACAAACATGACGCATCTAAACTATAATTTCTTTTAGTATATTACCTTTCTCCTATCATTCGATGCTGTGTGATGTGAACAGTTGTTAAGTGTCATTAAATAAACCAAGAAGAAGACAAAGAAGAACTTTGTCGATGACAAAGATAGGTCAGGAGTTTCAGTCTTTATTTCTGGACTGGATCCAGACACTCAGACACTCGGTCTCGCTTTTCCCAGGTTTTACATTTCACACATTAGCATTAAGTCGAGTGGCCACAGAAATACTTCACATTGCAAAGTGTGACAGGGCGGCGAACACAGCGACGGACAGCGACGCCGTCGATACCGCTTTCAAGGCCGACGTCGCACCTCCCTTCGCCCAAGGAGTCACCGGTGACCTGGAAGACAGAGACACGTTCATCAAGAACCAGGATGCATTTAATTCACAATTACCTCGGGCATTGTCCATCGTGTGAAAAATGACTGATAGGCGTACATGTCAGATACGCAGTCCTTCGATGTACGAAGTTTACTTTGTAGGAATTATTATTTTCCAATGATAGAAGGTCTACGGTTTAAAGCTATTGTAAACTGATTATGTAATTTGTAAATTACGATAATCTTTTTCTTGACGTAAACTTTCAACTACACAATGTATAAAATTTCCTGAAGATAACAAAGTAACGTGTAATGACAATAAACTTAATACGACCAAAAATAAATATACGAGCCCACAAACATACGTGCGTACACAAGGAAATACACGAACTGTTTAGCCTGTTTGCAGGCATTATACCAAAATGTTTCCGTATGGAGTAAAACAACGCAAAACCTCAATGAGAATATCAAGTAACACAGCCGTGATACGAACTGAATATTTACATCAGTTACAATAATAAGAGTGTCTTTCTCTTGGTGTGACGCGGCAGATGAAAGGCTGATTGCTCATCTCCTATCTGATAGCGAGGTTTAGAATACGCTGAGCCTTACCTTCTCTTTTCCATAAGCACAGGAACACATTTACCATTAACTTCTCTCAATTACAAAAACACAGATTTATAAACCCACGAATTCCTTTGTATCAACATCATTCCAAACCATCACTACGGATACTCGATATTCCTATTACTAACGCCCAATTTAAATCATGCACATGCAGAATAAATAAGTCAACACGAAAGAATATAAATTAAAAATATGTAGATTTATTTATGGGCATTTCAGTAAATATACACTTAAAAGCACAAGATATTATCGTGTCATGGATAATGCGTCTTTGATTCCTATATTTAGGACCGGTAATATATGAACGAATTTGTTCCTAAATACCGTATCTAATATCACATAAAATTATACATTAATATTTTTTGAATGTGCTAGGAATATTTGCACAGATCGTTCGTTGTTGATTTGTTATCTTTCAGAGATCACATTACAGGTTCTCTGTATTCTAAAATTTTGATTTTGGTCTCGCCATTCGCCATGTGAAATAATGCCATTTCAACTATGCCTGTATTATGTTGGCTCTGGGACAATTCCTAGTATTGAAATCAATGCGTGGGTCCTGGCAAGATTGTAGAACGACGTTACTAATTATTTACGGGAGTTAATCGTTAATATGTAAAAAAAGTGTGAAACTTTCTTGAACAATGTTACTGAATGTTCTATAATAGTGACACACAAACAGAATATAAACTATTTTTCTATACCATCACAGAGTCAGATATCATATAGTGGGGGAGTCTGCATATCTTAAAACCTTTAAGACACTACTCAAAACATCGAATATCCGGCGCAAATTAATTATTGATAATGCACTAATGTGTTTTTGTACATCTGTATGTTTAGCAAGCGCGTAAAATATAAATGTCCACTCCCGTCTTTAACCAGTCACAAACTTGAGTGACACGTAATTTACTGTGTTTAGGCGACCCAATATTCTTACCCACAGTCGTAAGAACTTGAAATCTAAATAAATAAAACCACTCCTGATTATTGATTGAAATTTCCCACCAGGACAGTCATCATACTGAAGTAACATGGCACTGTGAAATGTTAATCAAATGGATATCACTTTGCGTGTGTATTTGGTTGTTATACAGACGTCAAAATTCTCCTATTATAAAACATAAATGTCACGGAGCTTAAATTTCTGTAAATGTAATGCCTGCTGTAGCTTACAAATTGTAAAAAAATAAACACAAGATGAATTTTATAAGAATCTAATACTATTTAGAACTGAGCGTCTGTTTAATAAGAAAAACGTCCAAAGCAACATTCAAGGTTAACGACATTAACATGCATATTTTATCACAAACCTGTCAGAATTCAACTTGAAACCTATTCAAACAGAACATTCACCGACACGACTCGACCCAATATTTGATTAATCAATGCAACATCCTTCCTCGACCTTGTAGTGGCAAAGTACTGTACACTCCATGCCTACACGTATAGAATCCGTAAAGCTGCATTAGAAAGGTACTATTGTTTGTCTAGAGAAGTGTCCGAATGTATCATGTATCATACGAGTGAGGCTTTACGAAGTATTTAGTCGATACAAAATCGATTTCGTGCGGCGATCTTCTAGTTACAACAATTTAATGATACCTGGTAATTAAACAGATGGCAGCGTTTTATTGTTCTCCGTGTGTGACCGGGAGATAATAACATTTGGTGTAATTTGGTTTTTCAATGTCTTCAAATTTTGACTTTTGTACTGTTATATGAGTGTTGTATTTTATGGTGGCAAATTTAAACAACGCCTTCACAACTATGAAATGAGGGGAAAAAATTAAAACTCTGCCCTAGTAACCACGGTGGGTCGGCAGATATGCGATTTTCTTAAATATTTCAAAAACGCGTATTATTTCTTAGATTTTTCTTGAAACTTTTTCCTTCCTTGGGAATTAACCTTTATAAATTCGTTGTATATTGCAGTGTTACATGGAAACTTTTATCCGCCGTAATAAAATGCCACAGAAGGAACGAGTTTCAGTCCTGAAAGATCTTTTTACGCTCCAGGATGACAAGTAATACAAATAGGCCATCGCGAGGGTAATGTATTAAAGGTATCCTGATATACGACAACCAAGGAAGAAATATTAAAAATATAGAGAGCAAGGAGACCGAATGCCAGTTGGTGGCGATCGCCCTCCTTCCAGACTGAACGTCAAAGAGACATTACTGGATCCCGATGACTCCACACGCAACCCTGCTGCCTGCAGTTCCTGTCTTCTTACTCTCTTCAGTGTCCCCCTTTCCCAAGTCGTCAGTTCCGTTGTGCACCACGAGGGCGCGGCCGACGATGTTGTGGGCGCCGTGGAGAGAGATCAAGCTGTCCGTGATGTTCACACTGGCGACACCATTAGCACCTGCTTCGATGTTGCCTAGGTCACCCACATGACGCTCCGTGTCATTTGGGCCACCGTGATTCTTCTGCAAAGAAACATGAAATCAGAATCGTATAATCGTTATGTTGACTGCTGAGATTTGTTCTCACGGCGGTGAGTATTAAGATGGCTGTCTTCTGCGATGTTGGTCCGTGCAGATAATGGCCGATTTAAAAGACGGTTACTACCTCCATTATCAAGGCGAAACTTTGTATCTGTGAAGTGCAATATTTTTACTTACGAGCTCTGTCTACGCACGATACGACTGATTATTTTAATTTCTTTTACAACGTTAGTGGTGGACACAGTGGTCTTCAATAAATGGAAAGAACCAACTGGGAAGATAAAAGTTGCAGGAAATGCATTTGAAATTTCCGTGAACCAACTCTTGATCTGTTAATGAACGGAAATGCTCCGTGTCGTGATGCTTATCTGCTGACGGGTAGCGTGTGTTGCCACCTGAACGTAAGTCCTCCTTCATTCCTCGTCCCTGTTTACATGACCGACTGGAGTGACACCTGGAGCCCCGCCCAGCAGGCAATCCAGGCGTTAGGGATATAACGCAAAGCACATCAGTATCAGATCACAACTCAAAGAACACATGTGGTCCATGAAGATCATTATGTTATTGAATCGAATTACATTAACCTCCTCCAGATTTCATCTTCTCAAGGCGGCGAGTATCAAGATGGCTGCCTTCTGGGTTACTGCGCCGTGTAGTCAGTCCGGTAGAAGTTTACCGACGTTTCTGATGTGCAAATTCCCTCCATTATGAGGGATATGTAGCGGCATTAAAGTACCTCTGAAACGTCGGTAAACGTCTGCCATACTTCGGATTCACCGCCATGAAAACCTTAAATGCCACGGAGTATGACAACGACTGGCTTTTGGGATGTTGCGCTATGAGCCCTGATAATGGAGGCAGTAAACACATCTGAAACATCGATTGAATTCTACCAACAGCGCTACATTCCAAGTCATCTTCATCTCTGCTGCAGTTTTATTTATTTGTAGTTCATTTATCGGCGCCCTCAGTAGCTCAAACTCTAAAGCGTCGAGTGATAGGATGATTAGTGAATAATGAATTGGAAAGGATATGGCTTAATCTGAGGCTCTTTCCCGGTATTTTCCTGGAGGTACTGAGAAAACTATAAAACTGTCAGTCGTGATAGATGGTCTCAGGGCATAGATTTTAACCCAGGAACTACAGAATTTTAAGCAGGAGTACCAACCACTCAGCCACAAACATAGGTGCTGCTGTAGTTTTGGTAACACAATATTTTACTACGTTCTGAGCGTAATATCTCATCTACATGTTGCAAGGCAAAGTGTTTTCTGTTTGTGGAACTGTAGCACACCTTTTCGGGGTTGAAGTGGCCACCTGCAGCCACGCATTCGCTGCTGATGTCTCCCTTCTCATGAATGTGGAAGCCGTGCTTTCCCGGTGTGAGACCGCTCACTACGCCGCTAAGCTTCACGACGTTGCCGTCCTTTTCTTGGAAGAAACTGACGTTGCCCACAATTTCATGTCCCTTAATGAGCGTCACCACGGCCCTGCGCTCCTGAAACACACGTGTCATTGTAAACCATCTCATGTTAAATTAATGACGCATTTGGTCTACATGGATGATAAAAACCTCAGATGATGGCTATATATAGCCGAAACATGTTGTGTAAGTTCCATATGTAAATCGAGTACTCGATAGGGAACGTAATATGATATTTTAATCTTTTAATTTTATTGTGATTGACGGTTATTTTTAAATATTTTAATACTATTAATTCACAATATGACGCATCTACAATACCTTAAAAACCTCCAGCATGTTACTGTGAGATTCACAAGATCCGAAAATATTTTTACCCTATCCTACGCTGGATAAATGCAGTACACATCCTCATATTCCATTTCTGAAGTTCCACTTTAATATTATTCTCTCATTCATATCTCTGCAACGGTCTTCCCGTTTGAGTTTGTAGTTGGAAATCAGGTGCGTACTTTACACAGGTTTAACAAGAACGTTTATGAATGGGAGTGGGTGGAATATACTCATTAAGATACCATCTCGTCAGGTCTATTTATTTAAATGACTTACATCCCCACTTAAACGACTTGTCTCTCAAGTGCGTGATTTCACGCTTTTTGTACATAATTTTATGCAATTCACTTCCCTGTGGACTGCAGATACTATCTTGTGGCATGCCCACTTCAAATAACAAAAGAACAAGAAAAGAGTCCGTGGAAAGTTCACACAGAACGTGGGGAAAAATTCTCTTGCCCCATCATGAAGTTTCATGTTATGGCCACTAGAAGCATGGAGTAAGAAAACATGTTTTACGACTTGGCGTCGATTTTATACAATAAAAGAGGCCATCTTATCGAATATTACGTGGACTTCAAGCGGTACCTTATTGAGTTAAAACTCAATACATTTATTCTGGTGAATTCTAGAATAGCTAGACTCCACAATGACAATTACCATCCGAAAGTATGACCTCGAAAAGAAACATAATAAGAAATCGACAATTTCAATGTAAATAGATAGAATGAATGTAAATTTATTTGGATCTCTGGACGTATTTTTGCCGGATTATAGAAGAGTGAATATTCAAGAAATAGATTCAACTTTATGGACTGGATTCACAAGACTAAGCACAGAGCCCAGTGGCGACATTTAGTGAAGTGGCAAAGAACATTTGATTTTTATGAAATGCTGTTAATTTCCCAGCCAGCTGAATCACAAACTTCTGAAGAACGGTTCATCTTGACAGAGTTAGTTAATACTTCGAGAAACCGCATATACTCGAAAATCTTGTAAAATCTTTTCTTCTATATTATTATTGTTTATTGTTCATACTGCAAAACATAGTTTGACTTTTGTCTTTCAATTTGGAGGATAAAGTTGGGTGGTTGAAAGCAAGTTAAGATGAATCTTGGAGACACGGCTTGATGAAGTTGTGGACTGTATATTTTCTGACAAAAGTTAACAGGGCGATAATGTTTACGCGACGACGGTTCAAATATTTAGGCCTGGGTCAGAAGTATAGTTGATTTTAAACCTAAGTAAAAACACTTAATTTACCGGTACATTTAGTAACGATAATTTATTCTAGATACAAAACTACACTCACTTGTGCCATTGATGGAGCCAGTACCAGCGCCAAAATACAGCCGAAAATGCCATAAACTGCCATGACACTGCGAACAAAAAACAACAATAAAAAGTGTTATTGATTCCCGTTGTGGAAGTTTCATTAATGTTGGTCTTCTGGGTTCGAACATCGTGTGGACTCGTAAGTAGAGACTAACGTTTCGGATGAACATACTGCCTCCATCTTCAGGACAACAGTATTTCTACCCAGAAGGTCAACATAGACACCTCCACAATCGTAAGAAATTCAAACCACAACAATTTTAATTTGTATTATCGAATTTTATTTTCTTGTACGTTTTCTGCTTTAAAAGGTAAAAAGTTGAAGTCCCAGGTCCTTAATTAAAGACACGCCATGAACTGTGTCGGGAAGTAGACTCATGGCTTTGCGCTTTCTTAATCTCGGATATTAGTGTTTAGATTCATGTCCCAGCTGCTTTAATGCCGGACAGGGGGCTGGATATGCCTCGGGGTAACTCTGGACATCGGATTACTAATGATGAAATGACAAGCCCGTCCTATACTCCCACATAGTCAGTTTATTTATAATTGTGGTTCTCGTCGCAATGCCAAGCACCATCCTTACTGACAGAGTGGACACGAGGTAATTGTGGAGTCTACACACTTCCGAAGTTAATAATCAATCACTTCGACCCTTTTATGGCCGTCAAAAGCAAAGGATGCTTTTTCACTTCCAAATCGTTTCGTTCAGTGCAATTTTCTTTGGGTTTTTTTTATCTTTTTTAGTTTATATTTTCGGAGGCCGTCCTTTTTCAAATTTCTAATTCCTTTCGAAGAAGGCGGCTATGTTGCCAGATCAACTCAATGATCAGTCCTAAAACATACAAAGCGTTGTATGCATTTACGTTCGTAAAAGACTGCAGGGCTGTTGTTCATAAACGAAACGAAAAGTACCCAGGTTATTAAACACACTTACGAGGTGCGATCGGAAAGTTTCAAGACTGTGTCAATAGAGGTCGAACCGGATGTAGTACGAGCTTCTGCCGCTAGGGGGTGCGGCCTACATTAATAGTGAATCAGTGTGCCAGCTGGCATCATCGAATTAGCAAATTCAGCTAAAGGGAAGGAGATTTGAGACGATAGAAGAGATTCAGGCAGATTCGCAGATGGTGCTTGACAGGCTGACAAAGAAAGATTTCCAGGATGCTTCCAGGCTTGGCAGCGGCGCTGGGATCGTTGTGTTCACTCCCAGGGGAACTACTTCGAGGGTGATGGATGAATTTAATACCTGAGATAAGTGTACGGGTTTTTATACGCGCAGTCTGGAAACCTTTCGATCGCACCTCGTACGTGCCTTCACTACCTAAGCATAAACATTGTTTTGTAAGTTTAATTTTTCAGTTCTGATTTTGATTTGTTGGCGATTCGATTTAGACCTATCAATGACCACAAAAGACATCGTTTATTTGTACTTCAAAATTGTCATGTTCATAATTTTCAATACACGTATCGCCATCTGATTGCAAACGACGTCCTGATGAAACGTGGCTTCATTTCTGCACTAGTTGCTGCCACTTATTTGTGAGTAAGCTTAGAAGTCAAGTAATAACGTCGATTCATATAACCTGTTGTTCACGTCTAATGTCATTTCCATGGCAACAAGAGAGCACGAGACGACGTGTATTAATATCAGAAAACCGTAGAAACGATCATCTCCCCAGTGTGGTGTCCAATTTCTTGATCATCCAAGGTATTTTACGTGACCATTAAAATAAAATTTCGTAAAGAAACACATCGAAAATAGTTTTAAATGAAAACTGGGCATTATACTTTATTATTATTATGTCATGTAGTGTCATATTGGTTGATAGTTGTTTAGTAAAATGGACTGTTTTTCACAAACACATTAAAATAGTAAGAAAAGTAGAAACAGGCAAATTTAACAAAATTCTTCCTATCACATTCTTCCGATGTTTACAATCGGTTTTGTACAGGCTGAAAGGAACAGTGGGTGTGCATTAGGCTTTACCGGAACGACGCAGTAACCTTCACCTGATAAAGTCAATGCAATCGAAATTATCGTAAGGCAAAACGTTACGTCGAATGGCTCGTTGGAAACCGAGCTTAAAGCAGCAAGGTTATCACGAGTACTACAAAATGCGATACTGAAACACAAAAGGAAAACCTTCAACAGACCTCGCAGAACTAACATTCTGTTTCACTGCTCAGAGCAGAATGAATAAGCGATCGTGGAATTTCGAATACAAAATTATAGTAATGGTCGGTCAGGGGCTGGAGAATAGATAAAATCGATGTAAAATATCTGCAACTTTATCCAGAATATTACCTTTGCAATATGCAAGTGACATGGGATTCTTCAGATGTTAAATAAAGTTTGTTAGTGATACAATACAATAAAAATTAAAAGAATTGCTAGGCTTATATGTTTAAAATGTTAATTACCCGAATCAATTCAAAAGAAGACTTTTGAAACAGCCCTGACTAAGCATCGAAATATCATAACGTCTGTCGTAAGTCAGAGGTTAAATATCTAGCCCAGCACTAAACTGGACTGGGAGTAAAGGTACTTTTTTTTTCAGTTTTATAACAGACATATAAAAACAGCAATGTATCACGTAGACCTAATTTTGAAGATATTTCCAATCGAGCAATAGGGAATTAGAATTAGGCCTATGCAAAATGTAAATCGATTAATTCAATTAATTCATTCACGCTATACGAAGATTAGTTCCCCGAAAGCATCCCTTCATTTAAATGCAATTCACAGACAGACAGACAGAGACTTGAAATACGAGTACCACATCCACACGCCCATATACAGAGAAGGATAGGTCCATAGAGTGTTTAATTAGTATTACGAGTGTGCTTGTAAACCGTGATGGACGGCAGGGATAAACCACATAATAGTTAATGCTTTTGAAATGACGCACGTACAAGAACACCAAATGGTGGAAGGGACTGTGGTGTGGCAATGGCTGCTAATGTACGCACGACTTAGCGTGCCGTTGAAGCGAAAATTACTTGTAGGTACTGAAAGAGTCGTGTTAATTTTTGTGATGCATTAATGAGAAACTGTATTCATTTAATTAAAGGTGGAGCGATTTATCAGTGTTTTAAATTTGAGAATACTGTGATAAAATGAGCAAATATTATTTAACGAAAGAAGAACCCGTACACATTATATACGAGTTGGGCCGATTCTGTAATAGTCGGAATTTACGATAAAGCTTTCCAAACAAGGGACCGGAAAACAGGAATGTCTTTAAGAAAAAGATCGCATTTTCACAGGTATGCACTTTCGACACAAATATAGAAACTTAAAATATACTAGGCTAATTCATCCCTCATAGCATAACGTTCATACAAAATTTCGTGAAAATCGATCTTTGGGATCTTATTTTAAAGTTTTTTTCCCCCCCTAAATGCAGCAAGGAGAATTTTTCTTTCGTCATACGCGACCATTTTTCTTCTCGTAAGAAATTAAACTTTGCTGAACGTATCAGAAAAAGAAAGGAAACGAACTTTACCTATTACTGCGTGAAGTTGTATAGACGTGTGCAAGAACTTTATAAAAGATACTGACACAGAATCAGCTACATGAATGTACAACGTTCGGGCAAAACAAAGTACTTTCATTTAATATGGCATTTATACGAGAGACAAGAGTTTAAACAACAAAGAATTACAAGACCCCTAACGGTTAAAAGAAAAGAACTCTCTGATTACAAGTTACACGTTATAGGACTAATCTGGTCGAAGTCTGTTCACTGAGCGTTGAGGCAGTCTTCGTGCAATGTTAGCATTTCACTCCTGCCAGAAGTAACTTCCATTTGGTAACGGCGCTACGCCTACACAAAGTAAAATGCCCCACAAATATGCACCGAAGAAATAACGAGTAGATCACCCAGCAGTGCAAGATCGTGATGTGTGGAGCACTAATCAAATTTGGGAAAGGTTATAAATGCGTATAAAATTTTAGCTGAAAAATCCTGAACGGAAGTTATAACCTACAAGACCTAATAGTGAATGGAAAGATAATATTAAAATTAATCTTACATAAGTATGGATAAAATAATAGTACTTCGTCCTTACATATATTTACATTTGCATTTATCTTTTCGTTAAACTGGTTCATGAGCTGCATTACGAAGTCCAGCAGGTCATCGAGTGTCTGCTACCAGTTGCTCATTGTACCTTGAGGTTTAAGTTCAATGTGATACATAAGTCATGAACATGTTATCGGGAAGTTGGACAGGTAAGTAGTTTTCCGACGCTCTGTGATGGTTATAAAATCACTTCTGCTTGGTTTACACAAGACGTACAAAATTTGGGTGGAACGCGTTCCTTTAACCGATAAAATCAGTACTCCTGAAATGAGTGTGACACTAATTTAAATTATTTATGTCGACTGTGCAGTTAGTACGCGTTAATAATTGGCTGCCTTACGGTTCCTACAGTAACAACGAACATGAATGTGATTACTGGCAAATGTTGGTTTTGTTCTCCAGCCAAGCAAAAATTCTGGTCCCTATGTTATTGCACATTTTGCGACGTTACCACTGAGTTAGACTAAATATAGCGTCGAGCGATGGAATGAGAAATGGAGAGCGAACTGGAAAGAATGTGGAAACGACCTTGACCTGAATTAATTTGCCTGGCGGGGCGAAGAAAAAACCTCGATAAACCTGGGAAGATGTTTCAACCCGGGACCTCAAATATGAAACCAGAATGTAAGCCACACAAAAGTTTCAACATCGTTAATGCCAAAGCCCGCCACTGGACACGATCCTCGGCCCGTTCTTTTGACCTCCCGGCCTCACACCCTAACTTCTTAAAAGAATCATAACGTCACTTTTCCCTATCTTTCACGGTCTTCCAAGCAAACATTTTCCAAATGAGTTCATCACTAAAATTCTGCTTGCATTTCCACTTTCCCACATTGCAGTCACATCCAGAGGACACTGCAGCCTCTCAGATGTTACTACTCCACAGAATGGGGATTTTTTTTATTTTCAATTCGCAGTTCTCCATCACAGATGCATCACTAAAAAATACCAACAGTCAGAACCAGTCTTTTGATCTTAATGTTGATTTCTATTCATAAACAGACAATTAGACGTATTCTGGACAGATGAACGCGGAACTGCACTTACCAAAGATCCGACACTGTCAAAAACCTGTTGCCGCTACATTTGTTAGCAGCATTCTGATTAAATAACATAAAAAACATAAATACAAGCTTCAGATTATAAAAACTGCAGTGTTCAGACAGAGTCACGTACCTCTTCGAGATGAAGCCGGCCGAATTGCTGTCCAACAAATTCTGATTGCCCACTGCACCCAAATCCTCGTCTGCTCTACTGCGAAGTTACAACCCGGACTGCATTTCTAGGTGTGTCCGACATTAGACGAGAGAGATCGGTAGACAAGGACGAATAATCCCCACTAGCGTCACAGTGCGGAATAACTGCAAACTAATGATAATGATAGACCTTTCGCACTGTAACATGTGTAATCATGTTTTGATGACATTCAGATTAGAGGTCGTGCAAATTTACATAATATATTGTTCCAGAGGGGTTTCTAACTTTAGCTGCAAGTACCGAATGCCATGATTGATTTGTTGACTCCTTATTCTGTTACGATGTCGAGATTATGCAGCGTCGAATGGTACATAGAAATATAATTAGGGATGGTGAATAAAGAGGAACATGACTGGAAAACATAGTGGCCTATTTTATGATCCTATCCCAATTGTTCTTAGGAAATTCACAATAAATTTGAGTTTTATAATGGGATTGAAACTGATGTCTCAGAATGTGCCTATCCATTCGTCGTTTCCGTAATTCTTAGCTGCGTGTAGTAAAACAACCAAAATAGCTTTGAAAAGCTAATAGTTGCTCTACTGGTCACGAAATTCCCCATATTTGATGGAAACCGAAGGTTCAATACCGCGTTAAGGTAAGAATTATTATTGAAAGGACGTTCCTGAAGTTGGGCGTATGCTACAAGGATTACAGGAAACGGAATGACAGCTTGAAATCCTCATTGACGTCAAGGCAGCCGGTCTTACGTGGACTGGACACGAAACACCTGTGTTCACAAACTGTCCCATTGATCAGCAGAACCAACTTATATTAATAATGCACCGAGGTCTCTTGTAGCTCTCCGTTCCCTTCACCCATGAATCCCAGTCGAGACCGAGATGCTCGATTTACGGCTGCGCTGTCTAGAAAACTGATTTATCCTTTCTTATAACTTGATAAAAATCGGTAAATACGACTGCATGGTTACAAGTACACCCAGTGAAATCACTGACAGAAACAAACTTCACAAATAGGCCTATGTAGCATAAAAATAGTATTAAAATATATTAAAATTGTCCGTCAATTACAATAAAATAATATAAGATAATTAAATGGTTAAAATATTATCTTTTGTTCCGTATCGAGTACTCGATTTACATATGGAACATTAACATCACTCCGACAATACGATTGTATCAATGATATATAACACAACAACAAATGTTGATACAATGTGAAAAACGAAGAAATATTAAGAAAATTAAAATTAAAATTAGTAATTGAGTTAAGAGTTTATAACATACACCTGATGACGGCTCTATGAAAGCCGAAACATGTCGAGAATGTTCCATATGTAAATCGAGTACTCGATACGGAACAAAAGATAATATTTTAACCATTTAATTATCTTATATTATTTTATTGTGATTGACGGACAATTTTAATATATTTTAATATTATTTTTAAATAAAATCACAATATGACGCACCTACAATATCCTATGTAGCATAGTTTACTTTGGAATGGATACAGTTGAAAGATACATTCTTTGCGATAATATTTTCCTCACTGATTTTAATTTTCGTTTATTGGAGATAAAAACGTTTTTGTAACACAACTAACAGTCTTGGATTTCTTTCAATAACAGAACCAATAAACTGTAGAAATATTACAATAGTTCATTAACTGCTGACCGAAGCCGATAAGATCGAATACGATCTACATTAATGGGATGTTAGTGGCAGCGAACCGTTCCAGACGGACTTCTTGAAATAGATCAGGTAAGGTAGTCGTGACTATGGGATGAGGCAGTTGAACGCGTAAACCTTGGCCTTATTGTGTGAAAGCTTTCTAAAGCGGCCTTCAAACACTGTGCAAGGTCACAGAACACTTTTCTTTCCACTCTGGGCCGACATAATCACATCCATATTTTGACTGAAAAGTTAATAAATTACGCTGGTCCAACTGTCAACCATGAATTTTGCCTTAAGTATCCATTTCAGGGGCTTTTATTTAAAATAAACTTATCTGAAATAATTAAATTGCTTATATGTAAAACATACAGCTGTAATAGTTGTACTTGTATGTATATTACATAAATATTCTATATTTGTCTGCAACAAACTTAATAAATAATATAAACAGTGTAATAACAGGACGTTAAACTGCCATATGGAAGTGCACTGGAGGAAACAACAATCGATTATTCGTGCTTTCATCAAATTCAGATGCTAAACACGAAAGGATGTAAATTCATGAATATTTCCAATCATTTACAGTCTTGGTGCTATTAGGTGATGTTTTGTAAATACCAAATAAGAATTTATTGTGATTAGACGGACAAGATTTAATATATATTTATTATACCACAATATGACGCAACTTTACCATCTCATGAATACCAAGTTAATCGATTTATGCATTATACCTGATGAGATCTTAGACTTACTCGAGAAGTAAGGTTGAAAACAAAGAGGGAGAGAGATAATTGTTTGATAATTAAAATTCATAAGTAGAAGTATCGGTTTGGCTTTCATTTCAGATGCATCGATTTATTACGTTATTCCCAATAGTCACAAGTTCAGAAAGAAATCAAAGCGTTTGAGAGACGTAAACATGGCAGCAGATTATGTATGCAGTAACTGTATACATAAAAACAATACGTTTTAACACTGCCTTCGTGTAAGTTGAGCGCTTTCAATACAACGACAGTTGGCCAAAACACATATCAGTGCTTTTGTGTCGTAAAAGTCTCTCAGCCCACGTTCAGTGATTGCGATGCGGCCTTAAATCGAGGATCTGTTCCCGTTATTTGCATTCAGATTCACAGAAAGTGGGCTAACAACGTGACATGTGTTCAATCACAATGAAGGCTGTGGTTTCTGAGCTCCAGACAGCATTCGGTTGCATTTAGGTGTTTTCCTTGAACGTTCCTACTACGTAACAGAATAACTTTCTTTTGTAATGTCTCTTGCTTGGGAAATAAAAACATCAATACCCTGACCTAGACATAAATGTAGTAAAGTAGAACAGAAGAGAGGTCTTTGTCAGTTACTTACTTTCTTTTTTTCCTTTCTTTCTTTTTATTGAATTTTAAAATAAGATGGTAAAGTTGCGTTATATTGTGATATAATAAGTATATATTAAATTTTGTCCGTCTAATCACAATAATTCTTATTAAATATTAAAATATTACAATATTCGATTTACATTAGACCATGTAAATCGAATATTTCGATAAAGAACATCATTTAATATTTAAATATTTTAAATGTTAATTATTGTAATATTTTAATATTTAATAAGAATTATTGTGATTAGACGGACAGAATTTTAAAATGTTTCTTGCTCTAGTTTAATCCTTTAAAACGCAACATTACTACATGTTCCACCTGCTTTAAAAAACAGAAATTGTATATTTTGTATTTATGTATCTCGCGTGATTATCAATGTAAGCAATGATTATTCCCTTAAACAGCGTTATCAAATTGATCTTTTTTAATGATAAAATGTGTTTTCTTCGAGGTACGAACTGGATTAGTTAATACTGTTTAGACGAGCTTTCGCTTCAAAGCGTTCAATAATAAAACGTCCTCAGATGAATTTATTCATATATTCTGGCATGATCAGTTCTATTGCAATTGTACATCAATGTTCATAATTTTCTGAATTACGTGTTAAAATGGCGGTGTTATTTCACTTCTCCTGGCGCCAAATTTCTAACATTTATCTTTCCATAAGCCCTATATTATTGGATAATTTTATTTACCATTATTAACTCTATTATTCTCCCCTATACCACTTCATTACACACCTATTCATACTTCGTACATTTCATACCCAATCACTATTACTTATCCTCAGTCCTACAGACTATTTTATTAATCCTGTTTGAATATAATATGTCTTCTGATACGAACTCGTTTGTACGTGGACATCGAGACAGAAGGAAATACGGATATAGCAATGGGAATCGTCTCAGGTTTAACGTCTTTTATCAAAGCAAACATTCACAAAGTAACGATCAGAATGTGTTAAATATCCATTTGATATATGGCGAGATCTAAAGCTTTCACAGTGGCAAACAACACGGCTGTCTTCTGGAATGTTCGATCTTGAAATCTGGTAGACTAACTAACGTTTTAAAGGAGCTAACTGCGTCCACACTGTGAAGATTCTGGCAGTAAACTCCTGTGAAACGTTAACACACTCCAACCCTCAAGGACTACCCGTTGTTGGCTGACCGCGACTGTTTATGCTTAAGGAACAGAGCTTTACATTTGAATGTCTCGTAATAATAGTTTTACCAACGTTAAATTGTATTGGTATTTACTAAAGCCAATACATTTCTGAAAATCCACGGGCCGAGTTAAGGCACCGGACTGGTCAGTACCAAGGGTTAGCAGGGTGAACCTGGAGGGGGAGAAAGTAGCTTTCATACAGGTCGAAACAGACAACAGTGCGACCTGGTGGGGTTGAGTGGGAGAAAGGGGTGATTAGTAGCTAACAGGTACTGCAAATTAAATACCACGCGCCGGAAGTCCGATTGATTCTTGAATTATTTAACAATTTATTCTCCGTAGGGAGCTCCGTAATTTGTACGTTCCACCAAAAACCATTAGGATGATAGAACCTATGTGAGCATGAGGAGAAAATTTTTTACAATTGTAAAAATACCCTTGACATTTAAATATCCTAGACAAATTTCAGTGCGTCTTATCAATTTTAAAACGTACTGTACGGGAATCTGAGATATTACATTCTCTGGGACGGAACACAATTTCCCTCCAAATTCTATGCGTTATTCAGGCTGTAAAAACAACACTCGAAAATAGCAGATAATTGATCACGTCTCATTATTTAGAGTAAGGATACTTCATAGAAGTTGTTAATTTTCATTGTAACATAGAATTTCTTGCATCAAAGCAGCGCCATTTCTCACCGAAGGAAACATGCCGACCACAGTTATCACTCAGCATCCGAATCTAATTTCGTTATGCAATCTTCACAACTTCCCGTCATTTGTTTTCCTACCTGGCATAAACAAGTGCAAGCCCATTGTCATGGATAGCCTTGACGTTCTTTTAACGCAGACACAAATCTGATGGTTCGTAATTAATTTCAAATGTCACACTGCGCAAAGTCAGAAATTATTACTCCCTTTATGAATCTGAAAATTTGTCATTTATCAGACGTTTAAAAGAACAATTTGTTAAAAATGTTTAGTGATAATCTCTTTCAAAATTGGGATATGGTTAGGTTAGGTTAGATTTGGTTAGATATTTGAAATGCGTGTTGTATCTTCAACATGCGAGTCCGAGGAATGAAGTCAGGATGTTATCTTCACTCCGAAATCGACAAGACTGTCCCGGGCCTACTCAGTCTTCTACTCAAAATAAATCACGGGCTCTTCGTCTGGGAGAAATAAGGCTTTAGTTCGAAGATAACCATTCACCCTCAGAGGCAAATAATACACAAAGGAGATCATTACCAGGGCAACAGATGGCGACGAGAATCAGTTTCACGTTCCGGATGCCTTAATCCTAATTAAGACACTAGGCTATGTATTTTGTAGGCGTCTGGGTGGCCCTAGATGCAGTTTCAAATAAAAGAATGAGTGCCCCTCATGGAATCGAACCACGGTTGCCAACTCGTAACCAGCCACTTGTCTGAATGAGACATCCAATGAATGTGTTTGTTGTTACAGCCGTTGGCAAGGTAAAACAGAAAAGGAATATTATCAGCAAAAATATGCATACGCATGTGTGCATTTTAATAAAAAAAATCCCTAGTTATTAATTTTTAAGTACAATTTCAAACAATGACACACATTTTATGTATTTTGAAAAAGTATGTAAGTTGGATCCAACAATTTTTCATTTATGTATATTTAATTGAATTATCTCAGTTTTTATTCACAAATAGCCTACATGAAAATGAGTCACATTACTATAGCAGCACTTAATAATTCGTAGGAATTCTCTGTTTTGAATATCCTGAAGATGGTCTACTTCGACCGAAACATGTCACTGTAGTGTTATTTTAACCACTGTGTCATCAGTTGAGGTAGCCGATGACGCCACAGCAGATCATGGCTCCCGAGTTTCCCGTCTTGACGCTCTCCTCGTCACGACCACGCCCGAAGTCATCCTGTCCTACGTGAACCACGAGAGTGCGTCCAACGATGCCGCGTGACCCTCCCGTCAGGTCGATGACAGGGTCCAGGAACTCCAGCTTGACCAGACCGTCTTCTCCTGCCTTGATGTTACCCAGGTCGCCCACGTGACGCATCAAGTCTTCAGGGGCACCATGGCGGTGCTGTACGTTCCAGAAACAACAGGCAGTTAACATTAAATAGCCGTCTTATTCTCGTGGTACTGTAGTCTACTGCGCCCATGTTGAGCGGCTCGCTCTACTCGGCTTGGTTTCTAGATATGGAGAGTAACTGTGAATATACTAAATAAGCATACGCGGACAGCCGACAAGGGAAGGTGCTCCAGCTTAAGAGATGGGCGGGAGGCTAACAAATCCCCTCCGTAAAAAAAGCAGCACGTTACGAAATGTACTCTTCACCATAAACTGTTAGGATGATCAAATAAAGGGTGTTGAAGTGGGGGAGTTGAGAAATGCGAACAAAATTTTGGTTCAAAATGATCCACTGAACTACGTTGCAATAAAGGAGAAGAAGTTATGGTGGAACTAAATAAACAAATCAGAAACTGAAAATTTGTACTGGTCAGTGTCTGTGTAATGTATTTATGGAGCATTGATATAGTCATTATTCTTATTCTTACCAAAAATACATTAGATATGTACTGTGTAATGTTCTTTTTTTTTCGATGTAAATAACTATGCCCTTACTAAACGGATATCTGATACGAATAAAAAATTAGATCTTTTGGTACTTCGTTATAAGTAAGTTTCACTGTAATACTGAAAGGGAAATACAGAGAGAGTCTCGGAGAACTCCTCCCCCCCTCTCCACCGCGAAAAGTGTGTCGTAACGGAAGACAAATATCTTCTACACTTAGGAACACTAAATAAAACGTACACTAATTATTTAATTCCTTCAACAACGGCGGCAAAAACACAAACCTTTCTAGCTTCAAGGCAAAGGATCTTCGTTGAAAAGCTACCAGTCGCTGAGAAGGTTAAGACATTCCCTAATTTTATGGAATCTTGATATTCGTAGTCTTCTTCACAAAAGCCCGCGTTGTGTTAATCCTATATCTAATCTTAGTTAATCCGAGTAATCAGTCCCCTTATGTTTTCCAATCAAAATTCTTTATGCATTTCTCACGTTTCTGTGCTTCGAACAACCCTCTCTTTTATAGCCACTAACAATGTTCGGAGAAGCTAATTTTACGTAATTTTCGGATGTTTTTTGTTTCTTCAGAATATTTTCATTGGAAAAGTTCTGAATTATGTGTAGTGTATTGATGACAGATTCCTTTATCAAGACAACACTGGATTTTAGTTCACGCCATTTCAGATCACGTTCCTCAATACATCAAGGAAATTACTCGATCACGTACCGCTAGGCATACCGTTAATTCCGAATTGTTTATTTCAAGCGCTAACAGATGGCACTGTAGAAGTGCTACATCATCACCATCTGGTGGAAACAAATCACAAAATTCAGTAAGTTCAGGCGTACCGAATCAATAACAGCGGGAAGCAGCAACTAGTGCCATCTTTTAGGCACCGTCGCAAACATCGCGAGTTACAATAACATCAAGTTCCGAAAATGTTGTTTATCGCCGGGAGTGGTGGCGTACTCCTTTAATCCAGCTACTTGGAGGCTAGGTGTTGAGGATGATTTGAGGTCGGGAGTTCTAGTGCACTGTGGCTCACGTTGACTGGGCGTCCGCACTAAGCTCGGCATCAATATGGGCGCCCTGGGGGAGCCCGGGGTGGCCAGGTTGGCTAAGGAGGGGCGCACCGGGCCAGGGGGGAAACCCAGCAGCCAGAAGTCCCCGTGTGGAGCAGTAGTGGGATAGCGCCTGGGAGTGGGAGCTGTGTAGTAGCCCGACCAACAGAAATCAGACCAACATCTTTTTTCCGATTTATTCGTTTATTTATTGTTTAATTATTACTTATTTCTTTCATTCTTTTTATTTGCGGCAAGAACAATTGCAAAAATAACGTCATTACAATAAATATATTTATTCTGTTCTGTCTTTGTTGTCAGTCAGTTGTGCCACGAAGTTAACATTCGTCATTATGAACACTACAAATTATTTAGTTTATTAAAATGTCTCTTTCGTTAATTAAATCTTCGTATACTTTTTTGTAAGATACATGCAAGGTTATGTTACATAATGTAATACACTTCTTTAACTTCATTTGCTATTATTCAATCAGACCGCATGTGACGAGAGGAATATCAATTTTTTTTTGAAACAAAAACAGAAAATGTTAGTATCTACGACATAAATGGTTCCTTACAACACAATCAAAATTTTTGTATATGCTCTTTGTAGTTGAATACAACTCGATGCAGTAGATTCCTTCTTTAGAAGTTAGTAGCTGAGAGCTAGTCAGGACATATATAGTAAGAGAAGGATGCATTTCTCACTTCCCCCACGCGCTCTGCATGACCTGCCCATCTCATCCTCTTTATTTTATCGCCCTAATATTTGAAACTAACTCCGGCTTGCTGTCACTTCATCCTTTTTAGGACCAAATATTCTCTTCGGCGCACCCTTTCTCAAACATCTTCAGTATACGCTCTTCTGTTAATGTCAGAAACCACGCTTCCCACCCATACAAAACAATTGGTAAAATTGTAGTTTTATAGTCTTTACACTTTTATGACGCAGTCTGCAAGAAAACGATTCTGAACAGAATGTAGGAAGAATTTCCTGAATTTAATCTGCTTCAATGTAATTTTCCCTCGAATTTATATTTCATTCCTTATGTCATTCCTATACATATGGAGAATTTATTAGCCGATGTTTACACTGCACTAACGGGACACAGAAATTAAGTTCACTTATTTTTCTCTGCATTTACGTCTGGAACTTCCCACTTACTAGCGTTTAATAGAGCTTTGCGAATTGTTAGTTTTAAATTCATAGCCTGTTATATATAAAATAGTTGAAAACATACAAATAAATACATAAAACAACTCTTGTTTTACACAAACACCTGTTTCTTATATCCGAGATAAAAATTATTATCTTATATGGCCTTCAACAATCATTTGCCCAGCTCATATTGTAGGCCTAAACCTACGTATTTATAATCGAATCGTCTCTCAAATTCGTTTAATTTTACCTGAAACGCTCAAGCAAACTGTGGTGTCGAAATTTTAATCAAAATTTGAGTACCACACACGTTTCACTGCGCGAATTAAGAGACAATATAAATGAATAGTCATTAATTTATGTTAAGTTTAGGAATATGCGATTGGGTGTGGAAATTGTATCGAGGAAAACCTCCACGCGTTCTTGAGCTCGTGGCACGGGTGTGAATTGTTCGTCAACTGCGTGTTACAATATCCTGAAGCAATCTTATGTTCCAGAAATTCAAATTTTCTTGAAACTAGCCTGTTTTGTGTACGTATGAATACAACTCTTTTAGCACAGATGGACAAAAGACATAAATTTCAAGATGATGTTAATGAGAAATTCTTGTGCTGTTAGTCACAGCTCGTGTTTGCAGGTGCACACATTGTCGTAACGGTGAATGACGATGTTACCTTCATCTTCGTTCAGCGGCTTCTATAAGAACCGCCGCGTCACGATATTCGACTGTCCAAGAAACAATCCACGAATCCCTTCTTTACGGCCGTATTTTTGGCTGTAGTCGCCATTTGCAACACAGGGTAATGAGTACTGAAGGGACTAAAAATACACGATAAAGAGCCTCAGAATTTCTACCATTTTGAGGGTGGTTACATCGAGAATATATAACTGTGAAAGAAAGAGGCATTGCCATTCGACTGTGGCAAGTAACTCACCATGTAAGGGTTGAAGTGTGGGCCTGCAGACTCACAGCCCTGTCTAATATCTCCTTTCAGGTGCACGTGGAAACCGTGGAGACCCGGAGACAATCCGGTCACGTTGCCTGTGACAAGCACTGGAGCCCTGGGGTTCGGTTGCCTGAAGAGGACCTCCCCGCTGCATCCCCCGCCTTCAGCGTCACCGCCCCCGCCGCTAAGGACAGCCAAGGCCATCAGAGGCTGAAGGTCCTGCAGAGCACTTCAAATTTCAAAGGGGAAACATCCTACACATAAGTTTAAACATTTAGATAGGGGCCATCTAATTATTGGTCGGGTAGGATTTTAGCATTTTGGCTGTGTGACAACGTTTCGGCGGAGCGTGGTATTTCCATCTTCAGACCCGAAGACGGAAGACTGAAGTTCCAAAATGTGAATCCCTGAGACATATAATAATATATGATACAAGGAAACATGATTCTTCGTACTCAGAGAACTGAAATTTTGCTCACAGTCACGAACTGTTATGAAATTATTCTAGGCACAATACAGACGTCCATTTTAACATGACGCAATTAAGATATAAAGCATCTTAAATGCAAAACAAACTGTCCGCAGACAAATCAAAAAGCGAACGATATTACAGGAATCTTGGCGGAAACATGTTTAGAAAGCATTTATTGAATTCCACAACTTTTAAAATATGGTGAGATGAAGGCTGTGTGAGAAATAAGAATAATTTAACTGTGACTCGAGTCTACAGAAGATGTTCAGTGCACGAGGAGGAATCTAGAGAATGCGATATTGAGTGCATGATCGATCTTGGCGGTAAGAATAGCGGCCAGTGAGTGACGCAGGATGTGGAAGGACGCGTCGCCCTCGCGTTCAAGCTCATGGCGTCCCATTTCATGAAAGCCTGTGGGTAAACACTGAGACAGCTGCACACTAAAAGGCCTGCTAAGAAACCTTGCCTCCTTGGGCCATGTCCACGATCCGTCTTATTTCGATTCGATCACTACTATGACCAGGTTTAAACACTCGTTCTTTTTGGACCAAGTAAAATAAGTGATGGAAACTTATGACGCTTTCCACTTTAACCTAGTACCAGGGACTCGAGTCGAATGACATGATGATTAACGAATAACGAACAGGAAAGAATATGGAAGGAAATGGTCGTAGCCTAATTCAAGGCACTAATCTGGAATTTGAACACAGGACATCCCGAAGAAGTAGCAGAAGGACCAACCACTCGATCAGAACGTTCTTAACTTTGACTCTACGTGAAGGTGAGTGGTCAGCTATACACCCGAGTTTTGAGTCCAAACACCCATTGAACAGGAGGCTGAGTGATCCCAGATACAATCTGGATGCGACGGAGAAGAAAAAGATTACCAGGAATCGATCCCGTAGCCTGTAACTTCATAAACTTGAATGGTAATTCTTAATACCGCATTCACAGGATGTAACTTTCACTGCAATTTTGTTTCATAGGTTATTTAACGACGCTGTTTCAGTCGATGTGATTATTATTTCTTTCTGGTTTAGTTGTATTAGTTTCCTTGCGTATAACTGCTTGCTGCCTCCATCTTCAGGGCAGTAAGATAGTTATGTTTTTATACCATCAAAAATAAACTATGACCTGTGCTGCATTCGAACCTCTCAGGACTGAAAAAAAAACCCAAAAATATTCCGTTTTAAGCAGGTTTTCATGTATGTATGCCCAAAGATAAAACCTTCGTGACTTCTGATACATTTTATCGTGAGCCAACTGTGGCTCCTATCAGCTCGGTAATGATACTCCCTGCGGGGTTCTGGCCCAGACACTCGTTTGTATGTACGTTCGTGTGTCTGTAGTTGTTGTCCCTGACCTTGTGCCTTGCACCATCATTGTGAAAGTGTATGATCTTTTGTTTTGCAGCTGAAGATAATCATATATAATGGTTCCTTCCAATATAAAATTCAACGTTTGAAAACGTCACAGCTTAAAGATTTTCATAAATATTCTATTACTTAGGTACTTTGCTATTATATAGCAGAACGCCCTCGATATATGAACCAATTAGAGTTTTTTGATATATGTCCCGATTGACAAAAAAGACAAGGCGAAATGGATGTATTAACAATCCCGCTTAAAATGACAAGCGAAAATAATAATCTGTGGGTTGTGCAATGTTTCAGTTACAGGTTCGCACTAATAACACGATTTGTAATTATATACTGCACAACAGGAGTCAAGACTAGTCTAGTGTAGCGAATATGACTGAACATAAATCTCGCGTCATTTGTCAGTTTTCATAACTGACTCCACACCGATTGTCCACAATAAACCAAGTGCAGTTTTACAGCATTGAAATCCAAAGTGGCAGATGTTGGCTTTGATCCTTCAGTTTTGTAAAGTCACATCGCTGCATTCAAGCTAATGTTACGATGTATGGGAAAATGATGGTGGTATCACATGGTACTACAACGTAGTTAAAACGCAAAAAGTTTATATAAGCATATGGATTACTGAAAGTGAAACTGATAAATCCACACTCACAGACAACAACAGAAATCAAAACGAAAATACCAAACATATTCAAAATTAAAATTACATACATAGAAACATATTTTTATTAAACGCATATTCATTTAATTTTAATACACACGTCGAACGAATGACAAAAGAAATGAACTGGGTAATAAATCTAGAAGAACGGCTCCTTCCCAACTGCCATGAAGCGAGCAAGATACTTTCATTTTCAGCACCAGGACAGCAGACACTTAAACACTTACAAAATGATAAGGATGCATCGGTATCTCATATATGTTGCTGCTGTGTCCAAAAATGGCAGGGAAACTACGGACATGGATTGGCCTCTCCTTGGGTACAATGACTTCGACGTCTTTCGACGGCGGAGCGTCGTCGGCAGCTCTCGCTAGCGACGTCATCAGGATCACTACAAGAACCACATACGCCTTCATGGTGCCGGCAGTTTACCTGCAATACAAACAATTCAAAACAGACTCTTTACCAAACGTAATTATGGTGATGAAATCAAGAAGAATGACTTGAGCGGGGCATTTAGCACGAATGGGGATAAGAAATATTCCTATCGATGATCTTGAAGGGAAGAGATCACTCCGAAGACTTAGGCGTACATATAGAATAAAATAGATCTTCAATACATATCGGCTCAGGGTATGGAATATATTAATTTAGTTCAGGATAAGGACCACAGATGAGCTTATGTGAACACGGTAATCAACATTTGTGTTCCATAAAAGTTGTGTAATTTCTTGGTCAGCTGAGCGACTGCTGACTTTTAAATCTCTTTTCCTTGTAATCCGTTTTAAGATTAATATAAGTTTTTTATTTATCTAAATGAAAATAACATATGTTCGAATATCTATTACCACGCCAAATTTCAGGTATCTACATTAAAAGGCGTTAGTATCGCTACCATGTTAGAAATTCGCATAACGTTATGTTTTTTTTATTGATGGTAATCAATTCGAATATAAAAGTATAGGCTACAAGATTAGCGTGGCTTATAGTATGATGACTTCGCCATGTCTCATGAAAACGCGTTTATTGTTTCAGAGTTATTGGACGTGACATACGCACGGAGATGGCGATATCGATAAGTATCGCTTTCCTTATAAAATAAGGAAATTAGGATAAGACATTTTTACGCGTCTTCATTAAAGATACTTTGTTCACAGAAATAAAGAATGAGTTGTAAACGACTTTCACTTCTACATTACAGTGCATATCTGTAATTAGTCGCAATTAATCATGAGACGTCATGTGTCGCTGTCATCGTCTGGTATGTTAGACAGCATTCACGTTAGCACATTGATAATTCATGAACTATGTAAACTATGATCACTACATGTTTAGAACAGTAAAATACGGCCCATCGTGGTTCAAGCACGGAGCACATGAAGAAACTGACGTTCAGAGCGGACGCTCTGTGAGGTGACCGAAATTCCAAATTTACGCAACCTAAACAGCGAAATCACGGCCTCACTCCTGAATTGTGAACGTCTTGCAAATAATTCGCAACAACTCACACAACTGCTTTACAAATTACGAATAAGCAAGTTATGAGATAGTATAGTTGCGTCATATTGTGATATTAGTTAAAATAATTATTATATTTGTTTACCGTCAAATCAAAATAGTTACCATCTCAGAACAAGGTTCGTTATTGACTGCAATAACAATAATGTTATATTAATAATATCTAGACACAACTTTCATAAAATATACTGAGAAAGATGATAAAATTATAAAATTGTAAAAACTATAAATAATTGTAATTTGAGTTTAAAAGTTTATAATTTACACCTGATGACGGTTTGATAAACCGAAACATGTTGTGAATGTTCCGATGTAAATCGAATGCTCGATATGGAACATAAGATTATATTTTAATCATTTTAATTATCTTATCTTACTATTTTATTGTGATTTGACGGTAAACAAATATAATAATTATTTTAAGCAAGTTATGTCAAAATAATTCTTCTCATCTACAATCACTGCTCTAATGGACACTAATAAAATACAAAGAACCAGCTTACCTCTTATTGTTTATGAGCTGCGACAGACTGCTTTGGAATACAGACTTGTGCGCGATTTATGAAATAATCAGACATGTTACGTTGCCTTGGTTACGGAACGGAGGATATGCGTGTTCTTAACGAAGAGGAAACTTGACAAATAATGAAAATTGCATCAGTACGCAACGTATACTTTGTTTTATAGTGGTAGTTCATCACGGCTGGAGGGACCTTGAAAAACCGATAGAACAAGTTACACTCCGCATTGTACAGTTGGTTCTCTCATTTAACTCACTAATTACGGGTCTGCGGTGCATTGCCTGCTTATTGGCTGCCGCAAAGAGAGGAGAAAACGGGGAAGTGCCTTCCTCAAATGATCAGCCATTACAGAAAAAGGAAATAAGAAATAAAAACTGTGACTTTTTCATCATCGTCTGCTTGTAACAGATTTAATGTGTTGTCAAGGACGGTCTCGTCTCGTTTGACGGGACACAAAAGGCCCGCAACCAACGAAATATCCACATGTGGACGCACGTGCATAACAACCATTTAAAAAGAAGAGATGTCTGAAATTAGAAATGATATATAAAGCCTTCACGGTCGGGAAATTTTATTTTTATTGTTTCCCTGAACTTCCGGAACTAGGTTCTTCCTAACTTACAGTTGACTCAAGGTCGAAGACGAACAGACGAAGACAAAGCTATTGTTTACGTAATTAAACAACTCGCACACCGCTAAATATTCGTGTTATTAGTCTGGTATGATCGAAAACGTATTTTTATGAAATAACTGTGTTCTTTCACATGCAAAGTTGCTCCACAGATCTTTATCAGTTCCCCTGTATTGACATGGGGCCAAACATGCTCTTCAAAATGAATCCAAAATGATATATAAGCCACAATAAAAATAAATGTTGCGTATTCTCCATAAATCAGAACGAGATCTGTGCATTATGAAGGATGCATCGACCATAAATTCCACTTTTTACCATTGAAGGTTCATCTTGAAACTTCAGCGGAAATTGCACCAAGTTAATGGAGCAGATCGTGACAACCTAATAATCTCTCAACTAGTCAAGAAATGTTTCGTCTTTTACGTAACCCGGAAGTGCATTTCCATATTAAAACAGCCTACTACTAGACTCTATTCTGATGCTGGTGATTCCATCCTATACCTACCCATCCCTTATCTTGAAGATTCATTTTAATATTATCCTCCAAACTATCAAGCGATCTCTTAACAAAGATCACAATATGCAGCTCCTTCAGCCTTCCGATATTTCCGATATTTTGGTCTTCTGGCTTGTAATGGCTTGTGGGCAGATACCAATGTTTCGGAGGAATATATTGCCTCCGTCTTCAGGGTTGTGTCCACCTTAAGTAAATATGAATATCACATAGCATTCATCGGGATGCAAGTAGAAGACATGTCAGTCAGTCAATTATTTAGCAAAATATTTCTTTAGTTATGCACATAAATAAAGAACTCAAGATTTCGTCACTTTATGTCTTTCTCTTATGGCTTGAGTCACAGTTAAGCGTGTTTATACTGGCGGCCAGAGTCGTCTAGCATCTGCTTCATTAGCCAGTCAGGATTGCCTGTTTAACGGCGTATTCATGATTCCAAGTGTTCGTACGTACCCACACGTCGATACCACACTAATATTACAACACGAGATTTTTAGGTTACTTTTTAATATTATTTTGTCAAAGGGTTCGTAAATTTTCTGATTTCAATATAATTAATATTTTTCTGTGGCGCCTTAAGCAATTCTTTCACTACAGTCAGTCTCTCCGTCAAACAGCGTCTCTGCCCCGTTAAATAATAATGCATACAAATTTAATGTTAAACGTGTATATTTCTTCTAGAACAATTATAAATTAGTCAATAGTGACTGTTAATTACCACTGACGTTCTTACCAACTAACTCCATGAAACAGAGTCCTTCGTGAGAAGCTAACAGTTGTACAGCTAGTCAAGAAATTCCCCGCCTTTTACGAAACCAGATCAGATCAATGCAATCCACTCCCTCCCTCCATCCTGTTTCCACAAGAACCATTTTTTAATCTCCTTATAAGAAGCCTATTTTGGGCTAATTCCGAACAAGTTTTCGCGTTTAGAAACATGGCAATTTCAGTGCCACCGCCTGTGAGATGTCCGATGTATACCAAGAACGAGGGCCTTCGTATTTAATGTGACTTACGAGGTGCGATCGGAAAGTTTCTAGACTGCGCCTATAAAAACCCGTACACTTATCTCAGGTATTAAATTCATCCATCACCCTCGAAGTAGCTCCCCTGGGAGTGAACACAACGATCCCAGCGCCGCTGCCAAGCCTGGAAGCATCCCTGGAAATCTTTCTTTGTCAGCCTGTCAAGCACCATCTGCGATTCTGCCTGAATCTCTTCTATCGTCTCAAATCTCATTCCCTTTAGCTGAATTTTCATCTTTGGGAAGAGGAAGAAGTCACACGGAGCTTAGAAAGGAAGTGGGGGTCGGTTCTTGCAAGATCTTTGAGCTCCTGACAAACGAAAAGTCGATTCTGCTTCTGGTCCTCAGACAGGAGCCTTGCGTCGCATGTGGAGTTCTTCCTTTAGAATCAGCTCACAGGTCCCATAGCCTATCCCAACAATGTCGCACAAGTCGTACAAGTGATGGTACGACCTTTGGCAACATTTGATGCACACGCCATTCCGAAATCGCAGGAGGGTCGGTGTAATGCACTACCAAAACGCCCGTAACTAAGAAACAAATGCTAATTCGATGATGCCGGCTGGCACACTGATTCACTATGAATGTAGACCGCACCCCCTAAAGGCAGAAGCTCGTACTACATCCGGTTCGCCCGCTATTGACACAGTCTTGAAACTTTCCGATCGCACCTCGTATTAATAAATCTGCAAGTTCACTGAAACTAAAGACCGATTTGTTGGGAAATGCTTGCCTTGTTGTGCGGTGTTCATATGCCAAGGGCAGGCACATCTCGGCGAATGCCATTAATCTTTTCTGCCCGGCGTATCTTATTGGATCGTGCCAGCTGATCTGGTTATGCACAACTTGCCCGTTGTCGATCTATTTTAGACCTCAATTATATAAGGAAACCATGAACAATATCAGTCAGGATAGCAGGAAACACGGTTAAGATTCGAACCAGATACGTCACGTTCAGAAGACAATCAAGAATGAATCTATGTAATTATTTAACGATGCTGCCATTAGTTCATACCACAACTAACAAAACCCACCATTAGTCATTCCTTCTGTCCTTTCAACCAAAGCTTTCAGTTCACAAGAGTTTAAATAAATCGTTTCCTACTCTACATAACTTACAAACTGACACTTAGCTAACCCGCTGTATTACAAAGTTGGTAACACACGTCAGAATTCCCATTTATTATCTTGTACAGTATTAAAATAAATTATAAACTAACTGGTTCATTAACTTTTTATACCTGTTGTCATAAGCTTATCTATTCATTTCACCCATTATCCTTTTACTTCAATGACCAGGGATTTTAATTTCATTTTGATTTGTCATTAAAGTACCGTCGACTCTAGCGGAACTGTATAAATCATCATACCCCATTCAAGGACAGCTGTTTGACACTGATTAATTATGGAGTCAATTCTCACTTCTGTAGATGGTAAAGATTGTATGGACGGCTACCAGTTTTGGTCCGAAAGCTATCTAAAAACGTAATCAGTAAAAGAAATTACCGTCTGGCAAGGACAAAAATTATCATTGATGTTATTATTTTAATTATTCAGTTGATTAAATTCAGACACGACGGCCCTATTAATGGTCTGTAGTAATGATGACACCCAGAACTACTGGCATGTCAATGGATTTAGAAAAAAATATTTTAATATATACCTGACAACGACCAGTGTTTCTCCACATGAGGGAGCCGATGTGTCGCTAAGAAACAGAATAGTGAAGTCATTAGTTCCGTTTCTTGTATGTATTACGTAGATTATATATTTTCAAATGACGAAAATGATTATAAATCATGTACTGTGGCGAAATTGCCACGGTGGTCTAGCGGTTAGAACGCTGGCCTTGTAATCCTGGGGTCTCGGGTTCGCATTTATAACTTGTGTTGGGCAAGGCCGGGGTCTAGGGAACACGGAGTTTTCCTCCGGGGGCTTTCCCGGTTTCTCCGTGGCATCCCAACAATTACTCCATTCACACCCAGAAGAAGGCAATGGCAAACCACTTCTGGATCATCTGCCAAGAACGTATATGAACAGGTCCCAGTCCGAGAAAAGGATGGAAGGATCCTGTTCATATGGACCTGTCGGCAGACAGAACACTAAATAAAATAATAACCATTTGCCTTGGTATGGATATAATTATTAATTTAATGAATAAATAAATACCACTTTTAATAATAGCTGAATGGGTCCATCGTCCCCACAGAATGGAGCGTCCTCAGTTTGTATATCACATACGGAAAGTGGCAGAAAATATACGGAAGAAATAGTAGCAGATAGCAGACTGGAGGTGGTCCTCAGTTAACGTGCTTCAGAAGACGGATAAGATAGAACAGCAGCTCGCTCTCCATCGGTCGGTCGGTCGGTGATTGTGACATCGTGAAAATAGCAATCAGCGAAGGTACGAAATACCCGTAATAAGAATGAAAGGAACGTGGAACCGGGTCGTGAGAACTCACAAGTAAATCGCGATTTCTGCCTGTCAAAATCTTGGATTAAAAAGCGTCACGTAAAGAAAGGTCGACTGACATTTCATTCTTCCAGGAAATGAAGATACTGCGAATTCTACCAGGAGATGTAAAAAGGACATGACAGTACCACAAATCTTACATTAGAACATCCATGCTGTTTGTTACATTAAGTGACTTACGGTTTCAGATAGCATAAATTTCATTCGCATCTCATTATATTCACAAAACGAAAACTGAAAATCTAATTTGTCCCACGCGCACCTTAAGACTATAATTCTCGCCTTAATTTTCTAAATTAAGTGTCACTTCGAGGCCCACATCTCTTAACGCTCAGTAGAGGATTTCCGAGAAGGTTTTGTTTGTTATGAGCATCATAATCGGCACAGCCTATCACAATGTAATTCGAATCCTTGGGACTATCGTCGCCAATAGTAATTTTTATTCAAATTATCAATCAGTGACACGAAAAGTCTCAGTGAAGGTCAGATATGTTAATAGCTTAAATCGCTTTAATCCTTTTCCTTTCACTCATGAGATTTGATGTCATCTTCTTCACAAGATTCTTCTTACGTCATCGTAACATCAGCATTTACGTGTATTTTCACGCCACGTATTTCGCTGAAGTCCGCCAGCGATTTATTTAAAACCCTCTCCTTTAGGGTCAGAGTTCGTGGCCATTAATTATCCGGTCACTGGCCGCAAAGAAGACAAGCTTCAAATTAACCAACTCCATGGAGTACAGCTTTTCTTGAAAATCTAATAGTCGTTCAGCTGGTGGCATAGTTATCAAGGACGAAACAACCTGATCAGTATCTACTTTCCTATACATCATTAGCAGTGAGTAATAGATCATAGGTGTCTTCGTCATGATCGTTGTTTGCGACATGTTGCCTTGAAGATGCTACTATGAGAGGTAAATCTCTTTTCCTTTAGTTGTGAATGTATCCCTCCCACATTTCACATACAACTATGTCACATGTTATTCAGGGTTTTTTTAAAAAAAATTCTCAACGTGTGAAGGACAAACTTAAACAGACTCAGAAAATAAGCCAACAAACAAAATCTAACCTTAAAGTAACTTAACTCTTCCAAAATACACCTAAAGCAGCTTATAGTTGTTCGGTTTGTCAAATTGTATACTGCTGTTAAGGTTCTAGAACGTTTAAGTACCGTTTTAACCCCTCACTGGCGATTAAAATGTATATTATTCCGTTATGACCTCATTTCAAGCTTTTCCATACTTCGGTGAGATTCACCTTCAAGACAAACAAAACAATGGGCTACAGTTCTGAAATGACATACATCCGTCAAGCTTTGAATGTTTCTCTTGTCGAATTTTTCAGTGCTCGCTCATTAATATCTCTGCTTTCTAAACTAACTACTGACGACGTAAAAAATATGTTATTATCGTCATTAGGTTAAGGCTATTCTAAATAATCGAAACAAAACAGCATATTACTTCTATCTCTGTCTTCTGGAATTGTAGTAAACTTTTGGGTTGGATATTCGTACCAATGGAATGAAACACAGAAATGGATCACTAAATTGTATAATTAATTCCAGTCAGTTTCATTAAACGTAAAGTAAAATAAAGTTGTCCCGTTACATACCATAGAGGCGCCTCTACTCAGCGTCACGCCCCAGAACCGGGCTGGACAAAGAACCTAGAAGAAAAACCCTTCCGGGAATCGAAACTGTTATCAATCAGCATTCTATAATCCCATATTTAATGCTGAGAATTTCTCAGTCTTTCGTGTACCTGTGAGAATGTTGGTACACACAATACTAAAAGATATGAGACACCTGAAACTGTAATAGAAAATTAACGTGCAATTATTGGCTACGAGACAAACGAATGGGGTCGATCGCTTACAGGGACATCAATGTTCTTTGCCTAAGGCACTCTCTATCTCCTAGCCAAAGGGTAATAGCGGAATTTTCTTCACAAGTTATGCGGCTGAAACATAACCTCTCTTCTGCGCCTAGTATCAAAATTAAGAATTTGTCGCTCTTTCTCTGCGCCATCTTGACTTGATTCATATAGAGGATAATTTACTTTCACCTTTTACTGACGTACACACACATACATACAAATACAAGTAGACATGTTGAGAAAACTGTTGGACATTGTCCATTGTCTGAGGTATGACATGCACGACGCTTCGCGAGTTGTTTCTAATCCCGTCTTTAGGAGATTGTTTGTCATGATATCGATACATTTTCCCGCGTATTGTCAGTGACAACGTCCAACATTGTGCTTCTGTAATGAATCAACTACCGTCACGAACCTTCAGAGAATCATTAAGCATTTTGTTTGTCAAGACGCAAGGCTAAAACAGGTAAGACTTCATAATAATTCTTAGCACCATTGTAATGTACGGAACGAATTTCAAGGTTGCTAATCATAAATGCAACTTCCACAGTAATCTCCTTCGCTTCGGGCTAGTTCAGCGATAATTTCTTACAATTTCTGTTCCTAACCTTAGTTCTACTTCTTAATCCTCCTGATAATTATTACGAACATCATTTGCCTAATAGAAAAACATATCAAACGAAGATGGTTTTCTTCTGGGTTGTAGCGCTGTGTAGTTTGATTTGAGCTTTATGTAAAGTTAAAATTAGAATACAAAATTAAATTCACTAGACAACTTTTGGCGTGTTTCCGATTCTGAAAGCATTCATTAAAAATTGATTATCAATGAAAAAGCCAATATTAATAATTATTTTTATTAAGCCAATAACAAGATTATGAGTACTAAATTGTACAGCATACACAAATATACATACGTCTCACAATGAACAGTACATTATTACAGCTAGATTTTTGATTCATGAATGCCAATGATTAATGTTCTTGTGTGAACAGACTAAAAAATATGTGGCAGATAAGCTAGGACTTCAAATATAAAATTTGTTCAAATCAGCCTGAGTTGTCAACTGAGATGACATGGCATGAAATTGTCTTTTGTTTTTAACTAAAAACTCCAAGACTTAGAGAAAATGTGTATTGGACATGAAATGTTTCATTTTTCCATATAACCTTTGTTCCAATCATTTTTAACTAAAATACTTATCACGTTACGCTCGAGATAAACACAGAAACACGTAAGCCTTTGGTAAAGAGCCTGTTACTGTTCAATTGAAATTGTAATGTGCCAACAGATTTTCGAAAAACATCCCAATATCAGATTTCATGAATGTTGAATGATTCCCAAACTGATCCATGCAGACAGACAGACATGGTGAAGCTAATGACAGCATTTTGCAACCCTGCATTGATAATGTCAAAAAGGAACAGTTTTTTTAAAAAAAGGTAATATTTAACAAGAGACAATGATTCATTCACTCACAGAAGTTGGTACTTCAACTTCTGACATTTGGCTCAACATTATTTTTTGTAAGATTTGAGGTTTTCACAGCGTCAAGTATGAAGATTTCTGTCTTCTGGGTTGTTGCGCCGTGTAGTCTGGTCGATGTCAACCAATGTCGCTATTCATCGCCCTGATGACAGAGGCAGTATGACCTCTGAAACGTTGGTAAACATCGACCAGACTACACAGCGCAACAACCCTGAAGACAGAAATCTTCATACTCTGATGACGGAGGCAGTATAACCTCTGCAACGTTGGTTAACATCGACCAGACTACACAGCGCAACAACCCAGAAGACAGAAATCTTCATTATTTTTTGACTAACATGTGCTTTTGTCAAATAAAATTCATTATAAATACTGGAAAATTGATTTTATTTTTCAAATGGATTAATGCAGAAATTTCTTAATTTAATATATTTAAAACATGGCATTACTGTACATACAAAATTCATCAGAGGGTTAAGGGGACGTCTAATATCTTTCTTCCGAGCTACAGCCACCACGCAGACACTTACTTATAAACGCTGCCTGCACCGACATCATTACTCGAATACTCACTCGCGCACAACTTGTGTGGTGATGTCTCTTCCCGCCTTCTACGCTTCTCCTTCCTTCTTTCATTTTTCACATGACTATGCGATTCCGATCCACTGTCATCATCAGAAGAATCAGAATTCCTCCTTTCCCAATCGTACTTTCGCAGACGTGAATGAGCTGCCAGTTGCCTTTTGGTCTTCGTATCACCGCAATGTGAATCTCTACTTTCACTACTATCAAATTTCATACAAGCTTTCTGACGATTATCTTCTTCATAGACGGTTCTATCATCTTCATCGTAGGACCTCAAAAATTCATTTCTGCCCCCTTCTTGTAATTTATACCAACTTTCGTCATCCCTACTTCTGTCATTTTTTGGAGTGAATTTTCTGTCTTCTTTATATAACGAGGAGGAGGATTTTTCTTTGGTCTTGGAACCACATGGCTCGTGTTTCAAACCAGCGTCCTTACGGCCTGACGCGACAGTATCGCGGTAACTTACGCCTCTGTGTTGTGAGATGTTTACTTCTGCATCCCTACTCCTCTTTCGCTTGCGATGAAAATCTTCGGTATCGTTACTGTTACTAGTGTCTGATGAGGAATGAGTTCTGCGTTTTCTCTTGTCTCTACGACGCTTTCGTCTATGTGAATGCTTATTGCCATTCCTTCTGTCACTGCTTTCATGCACTGTACTCGAATTCCTATCTCTATGAGAAATTCTGCCTTCTCTTCGATCATACTCAGACGTCCTTTGCCACCTAACATGCTCGATTCTGTGTCGATCTTCGTGTATCAAATTACTTCTTCCAAGTCCTGTTCTCCGTGAAGACTGGGAATGTTCACGTCTCTTTAATTCTTCCTTATCCACCCCGACCCTTTCCTTCCGCGAAACATTCTTCTCCGATGTGTGAGCAACGCTAGATGGATTGACATACTCCTTTGGTTTTGGGTCACAATCATATGTTTCTTCATTTTTCCTACTATCATCACTTCCAATTTCTTCATTCTCTTGCTTAAGAATATCTTCGTACAATTCCATTTGGTTCTGTATCACTTCCCGCAATATCTGAAGAGAAAACAAATGACTATATAAATGGGTGTTCTACCAAAGGCACTCAAGTAAAACCGAGTCCAATGGAGTGGCCTTCTGTGACAGTGTGGCTACCAGGTGGGTGCAAATATTAGCGAGACTTTTCAGTATTTAAATGAATAGAACATAAGTTTTATAAGGAATGTTTTCAACTCCAGAAATTAAGCGATGAAAAGTTTCTGGTTAAAGTGTCAAAAAGGTCTGTGGTTTCAGAAAGCTTCGATACTAATTCATTTCTGTTGGGTTCAAATACTTTATTTTCAAACACTTGCAGTAGTTTGTTTCCTTCTGCAGGAAAGGATGTCGTCACTGCGCACACTGCAAAGCTCAATCCTTCATACCCAGATGATACGTGGGCCTTTAAAATTACAATACGCACCTCTGTGTGACTTTTACGATTGGTGTGAACTTTCTTGCTTACTCTGCGTCGCTTTGCATCCCGCTCTTCTGCCAAGCGCTCTAAGAATGTTTTAGGATGCTGTTTTTCTTCTTTTTGAAATCTGGAAGTAAGATTATAAATAACTATAGTTCATTCTTTTTCTAATAAATCTGGACCTTTGCTGGGAAATACAACAGCCAATCACAATAGGGGGAGAGGGAGAGCCTTCAGTTGTAGCTTGGCAATGGCTTGAATTGCTTCGGTCCCTTTCATGCCAGTGAGGTGCGGCGTTGTCAAGTTTTACAGAAAACACGTCTATTATCACTCACTAATGCAAAAATAAGAATGTACAGGTTTCTATATAATTTAAAATCTTCTTCTTTTTCCGGTTTAACAATGTTCATATATTTTCCAGTACCCTTTTACGGGTCCCCAAATTTTTAGTTGGCTCAATCTATGGACATTCGGTAGGACTCCTTGGACGAGGGATCGGCCCGTCGCAAGGCCTCTACCTGTACACAGGACAACGGAACACAGAAAAACATCCATGGCTTGAGTGGGATTCGAACCCACAGTCCCCGTGACCAAGCGGCACAAGGCCCACGCCTCAGACCGCGAGGCCACTGCGGACCCCTATAATTTAAAATCAAAACATTAAAATAGATAGGTGATATGACCAAGAAATTAAGATACAATTAAAAGAACTACACAGCATAATCCTCATGAATGCTTCTCGTATACTTACGACATATGAAGTTCCTCCACCTTTACCACTGGTACTGCACCTGTCTTTGATACAGCAAAGTCATACAATACTCTTCTTTCATCTGGTGTGAAATCAGATATAATCCTATCCATGGTTTTGGGAATTGGACGATCATCCAATCCCACTGCAGAAATACCTGTGATAATTAAAATACATTCACACAAATAATAATAATAATAATAATAAATACTGTAGAACCTGGATTAAATAGAAACCAACCTTCTTAGAAAAGTTCCATAATCTCAAATAGTGAAAAACTTTGTAAGAAATTGCTTAAAGTAATCATAAAATGTTCAACATGGAATATAATCGAAAACAAGAATTCAACAGAAAACAACATTGTTTAATATTACAGTACTCTATATTCATATTGTAATTCTAACGCATACTGTTAAAAAAATAACATAATTATGTGCACGCTACTTTTATAAGCTACTAAATAAAAGTCAGGAAGAATAAATACACAGGATTTATTCTGAGTAATATATTTTATCCATATGTACAGCAATGGATAGAGGAGTATGAGGAAAAACATGTAAGGTGGCTAAGGTTCTTTAAGAGCTGTGGAGCCATGGAGTAAGTAAGTGAGGATCTGTGTTAAGTGGAAACCTCCCTGAAATGAAAAAATGTTGTCATATGTTATGAGTAGGTTTTACAGCATATCATGAAAAGAGCAGATTTATGAATAGACTGTGCAGTAATTGCTCTGTCTTAATAAAACTGACACAAAGCAGTTCTTAACAAAACTTAAATCTTGTATTCACAGGTTCAATTTGTAGTCAAAGATGTTAGATAAATTACTTGATGTTATTTTCATACTTACTGATACTCACAACATTTTGCTAATTTCAGAGATAGTATGTCAAAATTATCATACACAAGAAGGCTGATTCAAAAACACCGACTTACGACATTCTATTAATAGCATAAAATAATTTTCAGTTAGAAACAGAAACAAAATTTGGTACCCAAAGAATTATATGAAAAGGTATCCCTATATAAAATTATGGTATGGAATAAGAAAGGGAACCTTAATATCAATTATCCAATTATACTCTTGTTTACTTTAAAAATAATTAACAACATTTAGTAACTTAAAAGATGATAAATCTGGCTGAAGTGCCATAAAAACTCTAAAAGTTAAGGACAACAGTAATTAAAGTGTAACTATGCAGCAACATTTGTCTGAGTTTGCCATAACACCGAAGAGCAACGTGTCTATATATTTTAAAATAGTTTCAAAGCGTGGTAATACCAAGGAGATGTCGTTAACTCATGTTCTGTCATCTCATCATCATACAATGATGCTGTTTCTCAAAACTGCACACAGAGAATGAAAATCAGATCATGGGTGTTGATATTAAGTATTTCCTTATAAATATGACAACTCAACAGTAACTGACTTATACCTGATATGGAACAAGAACCTTGGACTTCAATCTGTCACTGATAAGAAACAATAAACAGTATTTAGATTTGGTACCTTTCAATCACGTACGTATGTACATTACATCAGACTAAACTGAATATACCTATTTCTTAATTATATATGAGAAATGATACATTCATTTCCCAGCAGTTTTTTAGTGTTAATGTTTTCCTGTGTACATCATAGTTCAGTATTCACCCATATTATAAGACAAAATGGCAGATGCTTGCATGTGTACATCATAGTTCAGTATTCACCCACATTATAAGACAAAATGGCAGATGCTTCCACGCTGTAAGTGCACAACAAAAACAAGTGTCAGCTTGTAGTTTTCTCTGAGGAACACGATACAACATAAGATGCATGCATCATGGATTATGTGGCTCATACAAACATAAAATAAAAACATCTTAATGCTACATATTTGATAATATAGATTTTCATCTTGTTTCATAAAATAACAGTTATTTTATCATGAAATTACAACTTTAATTCTACAACAAAGGATACCACAAAAAGGATACCATCATGTATAGTTACAATACTCCAAATATACTCACAGACAACCAGCTGAAAGAGCAAACACAATTATTGTCAGGTGTAAATAATGAATTATTTACAAAAGAAAAATAAGTTTTGTAATACTGCATCCATACATTTTACCAATGCATATTCTAGAGCAATGAAGCAAGACTCAAATAGAAAAATATAAAATGTTTTAGCCTACAAATGCCTCTTTAAAGTGTTTCCCATTACACAATACCAATCTGTATCCACTAGTGTGTAAAACATTTACATGATTCAATAAATTTCACTATAATTCTAGAGCTACAAAACAAAGGATCATGGTGGATTCCAAAATGGTGTTTTAAAGGCCCATCACAGCTAATTACCCAGCAAGATTACCACACACACATATTCAATTAGTATTTATTTTTCTTTTCCAACCTTATTTTTGTATTTCAAATTAAGGGAAGAACAAAAAGGGTGTTAAGTTAATACTTTTTTCTGCATTACACTGACAAGACATGAATATACTCTAAGATTCTTGTGTATTCACTGCCCTTATACATCATTTCTGATAATTAGAAAGTTTCTCACAACATGAACAGCAGTGATGAAAACTTCCTGCAGAAAATCATACAGAATATAGGGATAAAAATCCACCTACCAGTCTTCATTTTTGGATCCTGTAAAGCAGCCTCTCGGATTACCGCAGTTCTCAATTCTTTATCTGCAAGAATAAAGTTCTTTCACAAGTAACACAAAAGTGAGACAGTAATCATACTTACTTTCCAAGAATTCTACTAAAACCTTTTAGGCCTTCCATGTCAATTATACTCACTTAATATGAATATTAATTACCTATTACTATTGAAGATCCATCAGGCCCACAGCTTTCTGAAAGAGGAATGTCATGTTCATGGTAGCCTTCCATTTTCCATGCACATGAAGCGAGATGTTTCTCTAGAGTATCTTTCGGGATATAATGCTCACTGTTCAGCGGGCAGGTGACCATTTCTCTAGACTGAAACCAAAACAACATAACTATGAAAGGAAATGTCAATTTTGTTTATAGTGTAAAATGAATCTATAAAGTCAGTGGGTTTTTTGGTTGGCGATTTGACTATGCTGTCTGGAAAGCATGGATTGGTATTATTGGGATAAGTAAAATATGGAAGTCACTTCAAACACCACTCAACATACAATGTCAGGAGAGACCCTTAAAAATGATTTACATTTGCATTTTATAAAATACAACATTCTTATATTATGTGTATAAAACCAGACCATTTCATTTAAAATCGCAATACCTTCTCTCGTAACTTCTCAGCATTCCATCCTAAGATGCTTAGTATAGATGTAAGCTTTTTCTGAGTGTTCTCAATGAAGTCATTTAAGGCATCAAGCTGAGCCCTACGCTCTTCTATATTGACAGCCATGACAAATCAAATACATTTACACACATACAAACGTAGCTACCATCTTTGAGAATATCTGCTGGTACGCATCACATACGCCACCTTCAGATAAACTGCTGAATAATACCGGTAGTGGTGCCACCTTGTAGACATTGTTTGAAGTTTACATCTTAATTTTATGAATTAGTACAAGATGTCGGTAGGAGAACATTTTCATTACAAAAAGATGGTGTTAGAATTTTCTTTACTGCAAATATTAACTATTAATAGATTCTGATCAACGTTTATGTTGGGAAATTTTACAGAAATTTAAATTTGCATTTACATCAGACAATTTTAACTCTTAATATTTATCTTAATGTTACACTCGTAAAACTTTTGTCTGCCAAGTGTCAGTTTTCCTTTGAGTTACTAGCTTTATTCCTAGCCTATCGTAACTTCCTACATTTCGCCATCATAACAATAGACCCTAATCGAATAAACTACAAAGTTCCTTTTTACACAACACGATGTGAGCTGGAATAGCTCAGTATTAAAGTGCCCGCTTTCGATTCCCGGCTGGGGTAAGATTTTCATCGCTGACAGACCGCCTCTGGGCTCTATTCTTGAGTGGTAACGTGGCCAATAGTGCAGTGGTTCTCAACTTTAAGACCTGAAACGTTATTCACATTTTCTTATCGACTCGCCGGCATAAACATTAAGTAGTTTACTTAAACGTCATGACAATTTATTAAAAGTAACACTATTATAGTCAGGTTCATATAATACTCAACACATTCTTTAATTAATTTGCTGATTTGTCGTTTTTATTAATTACTCATTTAAAATTATAATTTAATCCAGACGGTTACTATTTTTTCATTATAGGCCTCCATAGTGATACAGCATTACAAGAATGTACGCGGGCTACAGATTTAAAACACCTAATTTAGTTCAAAGGTCTAAAAAAATATGGACCTTTATTTACTTTGATGTTCCTTATCAGCCTTCATGGCATGATACTGGGTCCTCTCACATTGTTGCTTGTAATCCATTTGTATTCATGTCTTACAATATTGCGAGAGCTGGAACTATTAACATGGCATGTTTAACTGCAGCAATTTACAGTCAGGGTCAAGCCCTGGTCTGAGGGACGAGGCCACAAGACCACCTGACATCTGTATGAATTCTAAATGTAACCTGTAACAGATGACAGACAGTGCCCTCCACATGGAAGTCGCTTTGAAATTTGAAAATTAAACCACCGAATAAAAGTTCCCCATTGGTTGAACTATTTAAAAGGAAGCATTAATTTGCAGCACACAATGAAACATTCTGAAATTAGTGTTTCCTGTACCTGCTTCTTATTTCATCAGCTGCATTCATTGTTAACGGTCGTAAGTTTGTAGTTTCCGGTGTTGGCTACCCCGTGAACTCACAGACTAAAATGTGTCGGAACAGAAGGAGACTTAAATTTAATGACATCATTTATCCCTTTAACTGTTTAACTTTGTAGTAACCCCTATGTGGACCTACTTTAAAATGTTTGTTCCTCAAATGATGAAGCAAATTAAGTTAACTGTCTAATTTTATGAAACAGATTCATTACCGTATGAGATTTGAGGTTATAACGGATGTGAAACTGTCGATGTTCGTCTTCTGGATTGTGACATCATGTGGACTTGTACGTTTCAAAAAAAACATACTGTCTCCATCTTCAGCCCTGAAGACCAACATTGACATTCACCGCCATTTTTACAAAATCCCAGAACTGGAGTCTGTTAAATTCAGCCCGCTTCCTTAAGTTCAATTTTAATATTATCCCCTTCCAAAAAAGTATGCCTTATGTTCCGAGGTGACCACTTTCTTTCGAGTTTTTGAGGCCAGAATTATGTTACTTATTTATTTGTGGCTTATTTAACGACACTGCCAGTAGCTCAAACTATAAGCTACACGGTCTAACGTCGAATGATTAATAAATGAGTGATGAATGATTAATGAATTGGAAAGAATATAGAAGGAAGCGGTCGTGGCATATTTTTCGGTATAGTCACGGAATTTGCCTGGAGGGACTCTGGAAAAACACGAAATCATCAGTCAGGATAGCCAATCTCCGAGACGAGATTTGTCCCCAGACTCTCCTAAATAGGGCTACAAATCACGCGACGTTTGGTAAAACAATTCTGTACTAATTCTCATTTTTTTCTCCATTCGTGCTACATGACGCACCCACCTCATTCTCTTTGACCATATATTGACTGAACTATCTGACCCCATTGATTCCATAAGAGAGACATTCTTTGTAAAACACATAATCATTTACTAACTTCACATAAATGTGAGCCTATTACTGGAAACCTAGATTCAATACAGATGCTCTTAAAAAACAAATGAAGTTATAACAGCAAATACGATCAAATTACAGCTAACCATCCACATATCAAATAATGAAAACACAAAAATAATAGAACTTAAGTTCTTTTCGTTATTAGTTTGTAGCGACGCCTTGCATTTACTCGTCAGTAGTCACATTCTGAATTCTATACATCAGCCACCTACCGGTGATAATAACAAGTACGAAGACAACAACGAAGCAACGAGTGGCGTACCGCAGTGCCAGCAGTTGGGTGGCTTCTCTTGGAATGAGAAGTTATCTTGCTGTTGAACGTTGTTCAGAGCGTGCTTGAGAGATTCTCGCGTGTTGCTTTTCTTTTTTTACGACAGAGCGGGCAATTTGTGTAGTGTTTTCTGAGCTTACGCTATTAGTACATCCTTGAGCTGACATGGACGGTCTGAAAACCTATTTTACATTTCGTTTTATCAGATATTAAGCGGCATGTGATAGTGTGAAATATTTACTGTTTTTCAGTTGTGCAACGAAGTACTAGTTAACTGTAACAGCATTGATGATCTCAGCTGTGGAATCTGTTTGTCTCTGACGTTCAGTACTTTCTTTGGTTAGGAATATGGTGCCGGTGTCAATGTGAGAAGTTGCTGAAAGTTTGTCGTTTCTAACACATTATTGGTGATTCTAAAAACACTTGTGAAACTATTTAATGATTGTGTGTTTGTTTTTATTACTGCTAGAAGTGTTAAACGACTCACGTGGATAACAGCTTCCAGTTCAGCACATCGTTCCCTGTCGGTATGTTCTATGTTACACTGATTCCCATACTCTAATCTGTTAATTAAGAGCTAAATGTCTTACAGAATTAATGTCTACCATAGAGAAACTTAATTTTTTTTTCTGTTAATGTTGGTCTTCTGAATTTTAACGCTGCACGGATTTGAAAGTGGAACCAACGTTTTAAATTCATCAGCCCTGTGTTTAGGCACAGTGGTAACTTTTCATTTAACCTCTGCAGTTGATACTACGTGTTTAAAATATATTAAACACTGAAATCAAGTCAATCTATGTAACAATAAGAAAGATAAACTGTCATTACGAAAAATCTGTAAATGTTTAGATCTGTGCATGGGAAATGTTGACTAGCAAGCTGTTCTGCTGCGTTTATGTGCAAAACATATTACGTAACTCCAAATACTAACTCCTTAGTGCCGAATCCTTCTTGACTAGCTGGTGATTATCCGATTTATGAAATTCGAGACTCGTAATTGTTTTCACGTAAGCCTGCTGCTGGATTCTATGGTGAACCAGTTCAATTTACATCCTGACTGGATTTCCGCGGTACATGTTCACAAAAAAACTGGCGATATACTGTGATAAATACGTTTTAATTTTTTAGCTGTCATGGTTAGGGTGTGTGGCCTAGCTTCAGTTAACGATAAATTATTAAAATATTAGTCTTTATGCATTTGGCGTGGCTCCGTGGGCTGGCCTCTCGGAATGGCTGTTTCTATTGTAAGCAACACAGAAAAACACGAATAGAGTTCCTGTCCTGAGCGGGATTCGAACTCGCGAACCCGTTGTTCCAGACTTCGAAGATGATTCAAAATTGGACAGACTGTTTCTCTGTGTTCTGTGATCGGACAAATAAGTATTTATCATGGTAGTAGTATGGGCTGGAGCAGTAACTTAGTAGTAGTAGTAGTAGTAGCAGCAGCGCTCATGGTCGAAGAGCACGTGTGGTCTAAGGCGCGTGCGGATTTTTAACCTTCGGATCACCGGTTCGAATTCCGCTCGGATTCAGATCGCAGGTTTATCTTGTGTTGTTCTGTGTAGGCAGCGACTCTGCTATGGGCTGATTTCCCGTTCTAAGAATCATGCCAGCCGTGTAAAAGAACTTGTTTTTGAAGCTTATTCTGAATCAGAAGAGACGAGAAAGCCCAATCTATAATAGGAAAAATGACCATAAAATTCCATCACAAGGCTCAAAGTCGTTTCGGGTTCCGCTTTGCGTCTTCAGTGCTTTGAGACCAGGAACTTCAGTTTTTTTCTGGAAATTTATTTTAAGTGTACGAGAACAAGTTAGGAAATGTACAATTCCAAAATAGTTCTGGCATTTTTCCAGAATATAACCTTTGCGAAAGGCGACACTGACATCAGAGTAGTCTGGGGTCAATTATTTTCGCGAGGGCGGGCTAGATGATGGCGTCATTTCGGAGGATTCCCCACATTTGTGTGCGGCTGGATGGTGATTTATCACGCGACAGTTTCCCCACCCAGCCACTTCTGATCACAAACTCATGCCGGCCAACATGTGTTGTCCGATTTTAACAAAACTGGGAATTGTCGACAAAGTTCAGTAAAGTGTCCCAAAATAATATTTTGTGAAAATCAGCCCAGCGGTTCTCGACTTGGTACATCAAGACAGACTTGGCCAGACTGACGCAATTTTCAAAATTTACAGACGCGCCTAAAAATTCTGACGTCGTTTAAACGTTGGCTGTCACAAGATACCAAACAGCCTCTCGTCCAACTGTTGCCGTCACTACTGGTCTTCAGAACGATTATAATCGTGAGAAACATGACGTGTATGTTTCTTTTGAAGCTGCTACTGACAGCTTGCTCTAAAGCCTGTGTTGTATTCCACACGGTTTTAATAATGAAATATCCTGTTATTATCACATATGACTTCCCCACATTCGAAATTAATAATTTAATATGAATGTAAAAAAGCGTCTGAATAGGTTTAATTTATTTTCTTTGTTATATA